CTAGAATGGTGGGTACACACAACTACACTCTCTTGGGTGTGGAGTCTAGATTTTTTGATGATGTACTGCTTCTATCCTGCATGTATTGGTGTACATGTTTTGTTTTATTGAAGCCAAGTGCCATTGAAGCTCTAAAACAATTTTTTTTAGGCAATATTTGCAAAAGCTGCTGGAACGGCTACTAGAGCTGCACCTAGTGTGAAAGAAGTTAAGAGCAAGGTGGATGCAAACCGGCATGAAAAGCCTGTTCTCTCTGCTTCTGAAAGGAGCAAGAAATCAGTAGTTGATGTTCTTCCAGATATTATACGGGTACGGAAATATGGATATCAGTGTGTTTCAAAAGTTGGATTTTTTTTTATTTGTTTGAACCACTAATTCTTGTATAATAGAGTTAATATATGGCTATATGCAGCTCATGGTATAAAAACTTTAATCGTCAACTTTCTTCATAACAGGATTAGAGTAGTTTTCTAGACACATATGCTCACGTTTATCATTTTCTGATAATTGAAAGTTAATGTTGCTGGATAATCAACAGTTACCTGCGAACAAATCTGCTGATTCTGGAAATACAGTGATCAAAAGCAAGTCATATGGAGAAAAAAATGGGAAAAAAGTAAGTGCCTTGCATGAAGTTACACCGGGCAATACTCAACTGGTAAGATCCTTTCATAGAGTTGAATCAGTCTTGCAGTTCACATTTAATAGATTGAAATTATCTTGTCCGCCAAAACTGTGTAGATAAAGTTGCTTCATGATTTTGCATAGAGTTTTTTCCACAATATCTACAACTTTTGACTTATTTGGGTTATTCCATAATGTTTTCAACTTAGGGGCCGTTTGGTTGACAGAAGGGAATCGGAATGGAATGAACAAAGGGAATGAAATGGAATGGAATGGCAAAGTGGAAAATTTGGAAGGTTGTTTGTTACAAAAACCAGGGAATCATTCCCTCCACCACAGCACCACCACCACAGCGCAGCTCCGACCGCCGCCGAACCCTCACAGACCTCCGCCGACCGTCGCCGACCCATCCCCGAGCATCGCCGACCATCCAGCCCTCATCGCCGACCGTCGAACTCCCTCCCTGATGCTCCAGCCCCCCTCCCTGATGCTCGAACTCCCTCGCCGACAGTCGCGCCCCCCTCGCCGACGGTCGCTGACCCCTCGCCGACCCTCCAGCCCCCCTCGCCGACGGTCGCTGACCACCACCGACCACAGCACCACCTCGAACTCCCTCCCCGATGCTCCAGCCCCCCTCCCCAACGCTCGATCTCCCTCCTCCACCACAGCACCACATCGCCGACCACTCCCCGGTGCTCGCCGAGCCTCCCCGACCACTCCTCGGTGCTCGCCGACAGTCGCCGTCCGACCACCACCGACGTATATGGGTGTTAGTGTTAGGGTTAGGGTTAGGGTTAGGGTGGGTGGGGAATGGAATGGGAAAGTGGGGGGGGGGGTGGGGAATGGGGAAGAGGGGTTTTGGGGTATTTTGAAAAATGAAATGGGGGAATGATTGAGGGAAAAAGTGGCAAACAAACAGGTTGAAAGGGAATGATTCCCATTCCCTTTCTTGAAACCAGCGAACCAAACGCACCCTTAGTGTTTTCCTTTTTGAACAGAAGAATGATACAAGTGGGAAAAAAGAACTTGGGATATCAGTGCAAGCGCTTGCTTCTCGGGCTGCATCTCGAGCCAGGGAAGAAGCTGCTAAAAAAATAAGTACGCCAAATTCTGCTTATCAATTTGAGGTTACCTGGAGAGGATTTTGTGGTGATCGATCTCTACAGGCTCAATTATTGAAGGTTTGATATTGGCTAATTTTTCAGAATGCTTCAGAATCTGTTTTCTAGATGTAAAACTTGAGTTATATTGGCGGACCATGGCTTCAAGTTGTGCATAAAAGAACAGAATATTGGAAACATAAATATATATTCTTATGTGTCCTCTGTTTCTTGCTGTAGATGTTATTTTTTGGTTGCTGCTTCCTACTGCTGATGTTGCTTGTATTTTCTGTACGCCTAGGTCACTCAACCAGATGCGCTGCCACAGATTTTTAAAAACGCTTTGACTGCTCCCTTACTCATTGATATTGTCAAGTGTATTGCAACCTTCTTTATGTAAGTAGAGGCATTGTGTACTGTTGTATTACAATTACTATAAAGCGGGTACTATTATCTCTATCCGGCTCTTATATCCTTATGATGTATCCTTGTGGTAGTGAGGAGACTGAGCTTGCTGTCAAGTATCTGGAGAATTTGACCAAGATCCCAAGATTTGACATGATCATCATGTGCCTTTCTCCAGCAGACAAGGCTGGTATGTGCAACTATCAGTTGCAGACGAGCTAGTTATAATATTTTAGTTAACTATTATGATTGCATAAACTTTGGTGTCAACTTGGTTATGCAGACACTGATTAAAATGTACTAGTATTATTGAGCTGTAGACTAACTCTATCTATACAGAACTTTGCAGGACATGGGATGAGGAATTTCTTGGCAATGCTACTCCTGTTGAATATGTGGATATACTTAGCAAACTCCACCCAAGGTATTTCCCTCGACAATGATCCACAATTGCATCTCTGAAGCTTTTGATCCATCAGGTTTCCCTCTGCTAAGGACACTGATTGTATGTTGAGATTGATGCAATATTTATGAAACTCTCACAATATATTTTTGTACACACTGTATATTTACTAGAGCTGATTATGGAGGGGTCTTCCTTTTGTATTATCTTCACTACCCCGGTTTGGTCTAATCTTTTATTTTACTTTCTTGTTTTCTTCCTTGGCCTTACACATAATTATTTGGGATTCAGGTACTAATGATACAAAAAAAAAAAGTATATTCCCTCCGTGCCGCAATTAGTTTTTCAGTACCTTAATTCAGCTGTCCCTACATACTTATTTTAGTACTCCGTAAGTCGTTTTCTCTCCATAAATGATATGCATAGATGAAGTATTGATGAAGGGTGAAATCATTGATATGATGTGGGGAAACCTATATTGCTTAAACTTGTACTCCTACCTGTTTGAATTATAGCAGTAACTATGCATTATTAAAATTGAGAAAAGTTGAACTCCCTTACCTTTTACTCTGTAAACGACAAGAAAACGTCCTTCACCGCAACATTCAAGGCCCCCTATCTTTGAAATGTTGCGGGAGCATTTTTGGTTATCGATAAAAGTGGTTGTTTGTGTGAGCTGTGAAACTTTTTGTGGAGTATTTTTTGAAGTGCTCTTATTTCTTGTGGTTTATCAAGGAATTGCTTGCATTTCAAGATAATGTAGCTAAGAAATTATACAAGTTACTGTAGAATAATTATTATTATCTACTTCGTATTTATCTTTCCATTATTGTATAGATTGATTCTTGTGCGCGTGCGAGCATGCTCGAGTTGAAAGTATCTAGTATAGAATACTTCGTAATTCTTTATAAGTGCTAGTTCTACTCGGCTTCAAGAATTTATACTCGATTTCTTTAATTGAAATGTGATGGTGATGGTGTAATGAATTACACAGTCGTAATACTCATAGTTTATTATGCTTGTTTTTTCGGACAATTTTGTATATTTAAATGAAAACTCAGATTTAGAAATCTCAGCATTGCAATCTAAAATTTATCGAAAACGATGTCTTTATTGTATCAATTTAAGTCATTTATTTGTATAATCTATTGATTTGTTAAAAAAAAAAAAAAAAAAAAAAAAAAAAAAAAAAAAAAAAAACAATTCATCTTGAGATGCAAGAGATTATGTTATAAATCTTCAGCAAATCTAGCCAAAAGAATTTTCTCAGCAAGATCTAACAATATATACTCGTAGGCAGGACCGCAGGAGTATATACGATATATTTGTTAAGTTTTATACTCCGTACATGTACAAGTCAATGAGTTGGAAATCTTAACATGGTGATGGGACCCACTATTATAGGATAAATTAAATAATTAGAATATAATGCAAGTTTATACAGGCTGAAAATAACATGTGAAACGTAGATGCATGCAAATGTTCATGTCAAGATTGAAAACTTTAGCAAACATGAACCAGGTACTTTTTTGTCTACATGCATATATACGTAAATGAGAAGAGAATAATTTTTGTAGTATTATTATCGACTAATAAGACATTAAGGCAGTTACGAGTAAAAATTTATTAATTGGAATAGTTCATAGGTACTTCATATATTACTTATAAGTTGAGACTTGATAATGATTTATTTTTGTGCTCGTAAATATGTTAGATGGTTAAAATTAACTATATGTACAACTTTGTTGAAGCTACAATACAAAGCCTACCATGCATTAATGACTTAATGTGATTGTAGTTGGTGAACATGGTCCCTAAATTGGACAAGAGAGAGAAATTAAGTTAAATATAATTTGACATATAGAGTATCTTTCTCGTTTATATTTTTACTAAGTAAGCCAAATTTGGTGAAGTAAGAAAGCTTGGTGGTATGTGATGTTTGAGGTTTGAGAATTTTTGTTTTACCAAGATTTGTGGGAGTAAAATATTGATTTTTCTTACTCCCATTATTTAATTTTAAAAGCTCCCTTTGTTGTTATACACATTCATTGTTAATTTGTTATTACTATCGATCATAATTTACTATTACTTCTAATTTACCAAACGAAACAATAGAAGACATGATTTGAAACTCATCAAGCGATACTTAATGGTACTTTTAAGTAGGGATCCCTGTATCTTTTTTCATACTATAAGTGTCTGACTTGTAAGGCTATGTTCAATTCACATGATCTGATCTGATTTGATTTTCAGATTTGACCAAACTTTAACCTAATTCCTAAGATGTAAATGAACAAATGAGATAAGATTAGATTCATATTAATATGTACAACTACTTTTCAAATATGTACTTGTGACTTAAAAAACAAAAAAAGAAGAGAGACTTTACCCATTATTATGTAAAAAAATTAGACCAAATATTTTTTTCCCCTTTCCCAAAATGCTCAAAAAGAGGAGGAAAATGCAAACTCTCTAGAGTGAATTACTGAAATGCAAACAAAGTGATGACAATCACGTGACATTTCTCTTTTAATTTTTGCCTCGAACCACGCGCTCATTTCTTCATCTCTCTTCTCCTGTGTGTCAGCCTTTTGATTCTTCATTCTACATTTAGCTCTTGCTTCATTTTCAAATTTTTCAATTGAATTCAATTTTCTCCCTAAAAGATTATTTTTTAAAGGAGAAAAAACCCCTTTTAGCAGGGGTCTTCATCTCCTTTCACTCCCTCAGATCTGTTGCTGTGTAAGTTTCTTCACCCCCTCTCTCTCTCTCTCTCTTTTTTTTTTTTTTTTTTTTTTTATTATTATTATTTTTTTATTTCATTATTTTTCCCTGTAAAACTTTCTTCTTCTAAATTGCATTTTGTGTTTGATTATACCATACAAAAAAAGGGTTTAATTTGTTTTAGAAAAATAACAACGAAACAATTTCTGAGTATGTAATTTTTTCTCTGTTCTCGGTGCTCTTTTACAGACATTTTTGGCGATTTCTGGGTATATTTTTTTTTCCTGGGTTTTTGCTCTTTTTTCTGTTTCATCAGAAAAATGTTAATGGATTTTGAGCTTCACAGTTACAGAAAACAGTACTTGAAACAATTTGTCACACTAATCTTATTTTTTTCTGCTCAAATTTTTTGTTGTTGTACATTGTTATACTAATTTCTGATTTATTTTCAGTAATTAGTGAGTAAGTTTTTGATAATGTGATTGAATTTGGGAAAATGCAGGAAATGGGGTTTATATCCAGGAAATTATTTCCAGCATGTGGAAGCATGTGTGTATGTTGTCCTGCTCTAAGGTCCAGGTCCAGGCAACCTGTTAAGCGCTACAAAAAGTTGATTGCTGATATATTCCCCAAGTCTCCTGTGAGTTTGCAAATTTACATTACATTTTAGAAAATTCCCACATTATAATATTTTTTGGGTGCAATGTAATTGTGTAGTAGCTACTGTTTTTGGAGATGGTTAGTTGTTGTTTGGGGTTTGAATTAAAATCATCAAAAAGTGACTGATTATGTTGGTTTATGTTAATATAGATATATGATATGCATAATTGTTTTTATTGTTGGTGTTGTACTTAGAAGCTTTGATTTATGACTACTATAACTGTTTGAGACGATATATATTTTGAATGTAAAGAGTTTCTGATAATTCTGTACTGTGAGAGAACAAGGTCTTTTGCTTGTCAAGTGTCAACTGTTTGCTCATTGATTTTCTTAGAATGTTGTTTATATCACCTGAATTTGTGATATTGAGAATACATTGCAGCTGCCAAGTATAGATGATAACCAGTGGAGAACGAAAGGTTTGATGATTTTTTGAGATAATGTTTATAGGATCCGTATGGAACTGGAAAATGCAAAAGCTTGCATTATTGAGATTCTATATTTGTGTTTGTTTCAGTAAGAATGGTGTAATTCACTATACCTTCTTCTGGAACAGCAATGCTTCACTGATACTTGAGTGATGGTGTTAATTCATTTGTATCATTTTTGGAGAACTCTAGTAGCTATCCTCTTTCCTTGTTTCTTCATCAGCAGAAAGCGTAATATTTCAGTTCTTTCTCCATGTGCAGGATGGCCAGCCAAACGAACGGAAGCTTGTAAAGTTGTGTGAGTATGCTGCTAAGAATCCTATTCGTATCCCTAAGGTAATGATCTTAGAGTATGAGTTGTTTAGTTATTTGACTTTGACACTTTAATCTACCTTTTCATTGCTTGATAGATTTTCTGTTTGGGCCTGCAAAATCACTGTAGATTACAAAACAACTTGAAGAGAAATTCTTCAGAGAATTGCGATATGGACACCTGAAGACTGTTGGCATTGTTATGGAAGCTTATAAAAAGTTGCTCTGCATGTGTGGGAAACAAATGTAAGTTTGCTTGCCAATCAACATGTATATCAATTTTATGATTGCTGGTATTGGCGGGATCATTTGCTTAATGCTGGTTTTAGGTCCTGAGATAGGACCACCCATTCTTTAATTTTACTTGGAGCTGAATCGGGTAAAGGGTGTGAAATCAGTACTTTCTTTTTTAAAATTTTCTCCTTAGTCCTTTATGAAAAGTGTCACCTAAACTATTTGTCATAACAATGTCTAGATGAGAACTGAGCTAATATTTTTAAGAATTTTGTCCTCTATATGACTGTATTATCATTGTTGAGATACTGACAAATTACCAGATATGTTGAATTGTTAACTGACGGAAATCCTCTCCTATTCCCCTGATTTTATGATTTCATGATCCTCCTGTGTCATTGTCCATTGTTTAGTGACTTTCTTTGTAAGACTTTCCTTCTTTTGTTCCTTGTTATTCTGATAGTCTTATCTCTTATCATATACGTCTGCTTTAACTTGTTTACTTTGGTATTCATTGTCTGAATAATAGATATGTTGTTGAATCAGAACGAATTTGTTTTTAGTCACTTGTCAGCAATGTGATGTGCCTTTGTTGTTTTGCTCAGAATAGCCTTGGGTGTTAGTAAAGTTGACAATGGTTTAATGAGTACTAGGTGTAACTGCAATTGTTTTCTCTTTAGGGCATACTTTGCAGCAAGTCTGTTGCTTCTTAGTGATGAGGTTTTGGATCGCTCAAAGGAAGTTGATGTACAGGTAGCTGGATGCCAAACTTTAACTCGATTTATCTACAGTCAGGTAAAGTACAGACCTGTTTTTCATTGCTTCACGGGATTTCATATTGCATATTAGTAGAGTAAAATTTGTATTCTAAAGGAGCTTTGTTCACTGTTTTTTGTGAAGAGTTGTTTTAAGTAGTGAAGACTGAAGAGCATGCTTTTGGGCTTCAGCTTATGTCCACTTTTTTCATTTCTTTTCTTTTTTTCTTTTTCTTTCTTTCTTTCTTTTTTTTTTTTTATAGCTGACTTCACAATTTATTTTTTCCCACCTTGTTTTATTTTTAAAACCTTCCACTTGGTTTTTTGTGAATGTAAATGCGACGATTCACAGAATATCCTATAATTCACAGATGAAACCCATCAAATATCCACTTGAAGGCCAAGTTCATTTTGTTCACACTGTTTCTGAAGCTGAAAGGAATATCTAAATTTAAGTATTTTGTTAGTTTCACTTCAAGATGAATCTTTGATGTTTTTAAGCCTTAGTATGTAATAAACTTATAGATGGCTTATGGAACTGACCTTGTAAGATAGGAATCAATGAATCATTTTGAATTTTTTCTTTGTAAATTACACTTCTAGTTATTATCTGTGGTTGGTTTCCAGTATTTGAACTATTACTGCAATTATTTTTTTCCTGTAATGCGGTTTCTTACTAGAATTTGATACATGCCCAGACTGATGGCACTTATGCCCGCAATATCGCAACTTTTGTTAGCAAAGTGTGCATTTTAGCTCGGGAGTCCGGGGTTGAGCATCAAAAACATTCTTTGAGAGCCTCGTGCCTACAGTGCCTTTCAGCTATGGTAACTTCTCAACTTTTATCTTCACCGTATTAAATTTTGAATAATTCAGCATTACTTCTGATTTTTTTTGTTATTTCTCATCATTGTCTTGTAACTTAACTTGCAGATATGGTACATGGCTGAGTTTTCCAACATTTTTCACAATATAGATGAGGTGAGTAAACTCTCTAACTATCTCAAATTCCATAGTGTTTAAATATCTATGTGAGGACATATTTGGTTGGTGTATGGCTTGGGAGGGGATTCAAGTTTTTCAACCAATAGTCAGTTTACTGGAAGATTTTGGACGTGTAAAATTTTTAATGTTGGCTTGGGTGTGTTTACTAAGAACTTGAGAAGTCTTTACACCCCTACTTGTTGGGTTGTTTGGTTATAACTGTTGGCAATTACATAATATGCATACATAGCCTTGCTATGTTACCTTGTCTTTAGTTTTATGTTTGCTTTAACCTATTTGAAGGACTTATACTTGTTGCACCATGACTTTAAGTAGTTTATCATCACAAACATCTATTTTTAGGTTATTTGGAATTTTGGATAATGTTAAAAAAAAGGTACCAAAATGGTACCAGTTGTAAGAAAAAGTGCCAAAGCAGTAATATAAAAGATTTATGGTCGAGTATTAGGAGGAACTTAGGGATTTGGGGAAGGAATTTGGAGAGATGAATAAAAGGTTAGAGAAGAAGAAAGAAGTGAGGGTGGAGACCACTTAGAGAGGGAAATTTGTTCTTTTGTTTAGTTTTTGATATGTTATCATTACATTGGATACACTCTCTTGTTTGTTCTTTTGTTTGTAACAAAGTATATGGAGTACGATCTATAGAAAGCATCACTACAAGATATTGTACAAGTTACTAACTATCCTTATTGTTATTGATTCAACTAGGCTGTTATAGATAATGAATCAATGTTTAACTTGAGCCCTTAAGGGCTATATTTTTGTGTCTATTCCTTTTTTTTGTAATTTAAAGTATATATATATTGTATAGAAAATTGATGAATGCAGTTGAACCTAATTATTCTTGGAAAGTGACAGCAGCATGATGGGTAATGGCTATATAGAATTTGTGAGTAGCATTTGCTTGAGCTTTGTCTTGTTCGAGTAATACACCGTATGCTGTTTAATTGGAATTATTTGGTCCTCATTCCCAAATCTAGTTGTAACTACGGTTTATGTTTCCAAACAACTTTTGGTTATTTTTCTAAAAACTTGAGCTAGGTGTTGATTTTGCTATTGTAATAGTTAATTGATTGTTTTATTGACTATTCTAGTTCACATGTGTTACGTCTTGTTTTTCTACTGTTCAAGTAAAGAAAAGGTTATTTATACAGTTTAGTGTTGTTTCCAACCACAGATTGTGCAAGTCATATTGGACAACTATGAGGGAAATGTACACAATGAGGAAAGGGAAGAACCACGTCATCAGTGGGTGGATGAGGTTGTTAGATGTGCTGGAGGAGGTTGTGCTGTTGCTGGAGTTGCAAGTCCTTGCTGTACTGCTGTTAGGCCTCCTCCAGACAGGAAAAACATTGCCTCTTTGACAAAGTAATACAGCGTACTTTTTGTGAATGTGAATTATATTTTTATGTAATCAAATATTTTGAACATATTACCTCCTGGACTCGAATTGGATATTTTGTTCCATTTTTTGTTTATCCCCCAAGTACTTTTTTTTTTTTTAATTCCAGAGAGGAGATAGAGAATCCAAGAGTGTGGGCTCAAGTTGGTCTCCAACGATTGGCTGATCTTGCAAGAGAGAGCTCCACGATGCGTCAGGTTCTAGAGCCAATGTTTATATATTTTGATGCGGGGCGTCATTGGTCTACTCAGCAGGGTTTAGCTGTCACAATTCTTTGTGATATGTGCTATTTCATGGAAGTTCCAGGTACACTTGCTTCACAAATCACTTAGCTGATGTTTGTTGTTTTTTCAGTCTAGATGTTCTGGTAACATTCTTACACCTATCCTTTCAAAAAATAAAAAATATATAAAAATAAAGTTACAAAATTTTACATCTCAGTTATGGTTTTGTAACTCTTCATTTACCTCAAGTACCTCAGATCCTTGTCATGCTAACATGGGTATGGACACTCCGACACTTCATTTTGGGCTAAAATTATAGAAACAATTTAGCCTAAGACACTTGGACACGTACCCTTGCCTGACACTAGTATAGTAGCATCCAAGTTCATGTAACATAGGTTTAGTTCATATTCTTTGATTCAATGCTAGTGAGATATATGAATAATTATGGATTGCTGTAATATGGGGATTTTGATAGAAGCCAACAGGGGCCAAAGATGACTTAGATTTTGGGAGTTAAGATTGATATGAAGAATATAGCACTAGAAAGAAGTGAACAGTTAAAGAGGATCTTGGTAGATGTAGGAGACAGTCTTGGTTTATGCAGCTGACCCCATCCTTTTTGATGAAGGCTGTGGATTTTTTGTTGATTGTTGTAAAAATTATGCTTGTTCTTAATGGCTCGTTCAAGTTTACGTGTTTCTATTGTTATTTGCTAGTATGATAATATTATTGGTTCTTGTTCTGCAATTTCAGTCCATCTGAAATTTAGCAGGCACACTTGCTACTTGTTATGTGCGTTTGTTCTGCACTGCTAAGTTTTCTTTGTACCTTTGGTCTGTTTTTTTTTTTTGGTCTATCAGAAAATCAGCAAGTAATTTTAAATGGCATAATACGTCATATGGACCACAAAAATGTTGCACATGATCCACTAGTCAAGTCTTGCGTGGTCCAAGCTGCTGCGAATGTGGCACGGCAGATTAGGTCTGTTGCAACACTTTCTGATATTGGATTTGTTGGTGACTTGTTGAGACACTTGAGGAAGAGTCTGCAATCAATTGCTGGTCCTGTTCGAGAGGAAGAGATCAACTTGAATATCCACCTACAAAATTCAATTGAATCTTGCCTTCTTGAAATTGCAAAGGGGGTAAGTTTAATATTATAGGCATATAGTTCTTACCCTCTTTCATTCAGACTTTTCATCAACTTTTACCAACTAACTTCCCCATTGGACATATCCCTCCCTGCAGATTAAAGATGCAGATTCATTATTTTATCTTATGGTGATAGCATTGGAGAAGTTGCCTCCTGTTGGAGTTGTTGCCCGGGCAACCATGGGCTCAGTTTTAATTCTTGCTCATGTGTCAGTGGCTGTCCATTCCCATTTGCAGCTGGTAAAACTTATTGTTGAAATAAAATAATAAACAAATATATTGTTTTCTGCTGAACTTCCCTTCATTATTTGTCTCTCTTTTTGCACAATGAAGTAACATTTTATGCTATATGGCACTTATCCAGTTGTGATCCTGAATAATATTTGCAGGCCTTCCCAGAAGCGCTTCTGATTCAAATTTTGAAAGCTATGCTGCACACGGATACAGAAGCACGTGTTGTTGCTCATCAGATCTTTTCTGTTCTCTTATTTCCAAGCTCTTGGAGATCTTATGAAACAAGGAGATGGCAGTCCAACAGGAGATCCGCATTAGCATCAGTCACAGATTTACTTGATAAGCTTCGGAAAGAAAAGGATTTTACCGGAGAAAAGACTGTAGATGGTGGCTTAGATGAGGGTAAGGGTAGAGAAGTCCCGGAGGATGAGTTTAAACAGGGATGGAGATGGAGTTCCCCTAACTTCTATAAATTAAGCTCTATTATTGACCGGACAGCCGGAACAATCAGCATTCCTGAGGTATTAGTGTGGTGTAATTATTAAAGACGTTGTTCACTCTGCTTGTGTGAGAGTATAATCTTGCATTGTTGAAGTCAAATTTCAACTACTGCAAAAATCTTTATTGAGGTTTTTTCTAATAGCTCTGAATTATCGCAGGAAACTTGTATAATGAAGCTGAGTGAAGATCAGATTTTGCAACTGCTTTCTGGCTTTTGGATACAGGCCAATCTTTCAGATAATTTACCATCAAACTTTGAAGCAATAGCTCATTCTTATTGCTTGATGCTGATATCCTCGCACATTAAGGTGAAACCAATCCAAGAACCCTTCTTGTTAGCTCAACTTTGGTTCCTAATTTTTTGTTTCACTTTCCCTGTACTGCTGCTGTCAGAGACTATCATATCATGTTCCTTTGCATGAAGTGGGTCCATATTACAGTTGATTGATGAGTAACTTTGCCACAACATGTCCCACGGTTCATGAAAGCTTAGTGACCATTTATTTTTGCATGGATCAGAAGTCTAGAAAAGTTTCCCCCCCCCCCCCCCCGTTCTTTTGACTCACTCAGGACTAACCAAATTCTTGTATGCAGGACACAAATCACAGCGTTGTTGTGCGCTTTTTCCAGCTGCCCTTGTCCCTAAGAAATGTATCATTGCGTGGTGACAGCGGTATGGATATAACTCACAGTATATTATATATTTACATTTTTGAAAGTCAGTATGGTTAACAAAACTCTTTTGGAGTTGTAGGGATGATACCGTTTGCTTGCCGGAGATCAATGTTTATAACATCAACTGCTATGCTAATGTTTGCTGCCAGAATGTATGAGATGCTTGAGTTGAATGATCTGCTTAAGTCCCAAGTTCCATCTGATGTGAGTGTTAGATATGAGCACTGTATAATATTATCCTTGTTTATTCTTTGTGTTGTTTTAGATAAGTCCCATGTCCTGATTGGAGATGGCTGTTCTGGGGAAGTTATCCGTGTGTGTTATTTATAAGTTTTGACTCAGTCTGTTGTTTAAGTCAACAGACCAGTCTAGTTACTTCCACTTCAGCTTGCTGTTCTCCTTTTCAAAGTGAAATGCCAGCCTTTCTTTTCTTTTTATTTGGGTGGGTGGGGGGTAGGGGGGGGGGGTGTGGTTGGTTGTAATGGCAGCTAATCATAGCAATATTTCTGTTCATAATGTTTGGTGAGCTTGTTTGTTGGAAAATGACTACTTTATTATGATTTTTGGGGAAGGGTATCATTCTTGCGCTACTACTCTAATCTATTGGCTATCATGCAGGTTGATCCCTTTTTGGGCATCAATGAGGACCTTCTGGTGTATGTCAAACCTCAAGTCGACATTGGACAATATGGTTCAGCGATTGATAACCAAGCAGCCATTTCATTCCTCTCTGAATTACGAGAAAAGAATCTTGATCATGAGAAGATTACGCTGGACATCATAGTGCGATATCTTTGCTGTATAATAAAGGTATGTTTGGATGCTGATATTGTGAATGTTAGGTCATCATGTTATAACTTATTATTAACAGATTTGAGCAGAAAATTTCTGTTTATTTTCTTTTAGATAGAGGAAGAAGAGCTACTTAATCAACTATCTACCATGTTCACACCTGACGAGGCTTTCATCTTCGCCCCAAAAGAACTAAGAGAATTGGATCACACTCAGATCATTCGTCACCTGAATGATTCCCCTTCTCTGGATGGTGTATGTTGCATTGTGTACTGTCAGCTTAATTGCTTTTGCATCTTGACTAGTAGTCAAAATTTCTAAGTGACAAAAGTTATCATGTTGCAGGAATTATCGATAAGTTCAGTTGTTGAAGATGATGTGACAAGTTCTATGTCTGTTTTGAATATTTCTGGTCAAAGAGTGCCACATTCCCGTTCAGATTCTCATATTATGAGCATTGGACAACTGTTAGAATCGGTGAGTCTCTCCCTCCTTCAATTTCTCTTCTTTGAATGGCAAAGAATCCATTATATCACTGCATTGCAACCTGGATAGCCTGTGAAATGACCTCCTCATAATCTCCCAAATTACTTGTATTGTCATTTTACTGTGATTTCTGTGCGCATCTTCAGGCTCTTGAAGTGGCTGGACAAGTTTTTGGGACATCTGTATCGGCGTCTCCTCTATCATACAGTACCATGGCTGGTCAATGTGAAGCTCTTGAGGCGGGCACTAGGAAGAAGCTCTCCAATTGGTTGGCCCATGATAATTCCTCTTCTGGCGATGTTTCTCTTCCGTCTGATGGACCAACAGTAGTTGACCCGGTGAGCTTTGTTAAGATTCTATTGTGTTATAGTGCTTTATAGTAAGGTTTGCTTCATGTGGAACTTTTAGAAGCTTGCATACTTGCCCAAAAATCTCCTCTTTATTGTTTATGATTTTCACCACATTGTATTCTTCTTAAGAGTAATAATATTGTTTATTTCAAATAAACCCTGAACCTGCAATAATTTAGTTGATTGAGATTAAAGGTGCTACTGTCTTTAATTGGCATCTGATAATTTGTCCACTTTATGATGTTTTGGGCGAGGGTTAGATTGTGAAGGGCTAAAAAGAATAAAAAAAATCATTTAAAGAAATTATAACAAAAGGTGCTTTATGTAGACTAGCATAAAAGATTATTAGTTTGGAACAAGAAGTTCGTCAAATTTAATCCCAGTTGCTGTTTTTGTTACTATAGGTTTCGCCTCGTACAAATGGTGCACATGGAGAAATGGGATCTCATGAGCAGTTAAGTTCTTTGAGATTGCCTCCTGCCAGCCCTTTCGACAACTTCCTCCACGCAGTTTCGGGTCCAAGACCGATGTTAGCTGGACTATCCCCCTGAAGGAGTTGGAAACTAAAATTGTAGGCACTGAAGTGTAGTGAGCTAGGTATTAGTGTGTACCGAGGAGTAGTTTTCTGGCTGATCTCTGTTAACTAAGTAGGTGTAGGAGGTAACTACTTGCACAGCTATGTAGCTTAAGAATATGAGGATGCAGGTTCCCTGCCTTGTAATCTAATCTAATTGATGTCGTAGTGCCTTCTGATTGTTCTTTGCTCATAGTTAAGTCTTCTAACAGTTGTGTGATTGCTCTAGTAAAGTTAATGGCTGTCTGTTGAAAGTGGTTTATATTTTGAGCAGTATGATTTTCTCGATGAAAGGGTAACTTGCATTAACTCGTCTTTTGCTTTTCTCGCCTTAAACTTTTGTACCAAACTTTTAGGGAATTGAATTTGGGATGAAAGGTGTATTAGATTTGAAGAATTACGGAGTTAAGTATTAACACTGGGTATTTCTTATTTGGTGAAGAAGGGGGCCGGCAGACCCCCAAAGCAAAACCTAAAACAAAAACTCCACGAAATTAAAGCAAGAAAGTAAAAAAAAAAAAAAAAAAAAAAAAAAAAAAAAAAAAAAAAACAGGGGAGGTTGGAGGGAAAATTACCAAAGGAAGCTTAATTGAGAAACAATACTCCATAGTAGACGCGTGACAAAACTATTTACCAAAGCGTTTTACCCCATAACTGAAATGTTTTTAAAAAAACCCCTTAGTTGGCGTTTTTACCTTCAACATAAAACGCCAACCAGGTTGACGTTTTACCTGCAAGATACTAAAACCTACAGGTAATGCCTGCTGCCACTCCCACCACCAGTTCAACTACTGCCAACCACCACTTCCACCGCTACCAACCACTACTTCCACTACTCCCAACTAACACTAACCACCACAAACCACCACTTCATTCACCTACATCCAACAATTTAACAACCTTCATCCACCAGTTCCATAAAAATCATGAATGCGTACAGTAAAGTTGATAAATAGAAAAAAATCAGTTAAAAAAAGTCAATCATATTAATTATATTTGTTTATATACAACGTACTATAGAATCCGATTACAACAAACTAACAAAAGCAATTCTAAGATCCTGATTCATCTATTCGACGTAATTGCTCTCTATCAACTCGTGGTCTCCGACGACGAACGTAATGAGTTACAGTTTTGAAAGGATCTGGGGGAGGAGTTATGAAAGGATCTGGGGGAGGAGTCTGTTAACTGGATGACGATCCCTCCTGTGATAAGTATGGCACAGACATGGGTACGGTGAAATCCTCCGGGACTTCACCAAACTGCGAGGACGTTGTAGGGGAGGTGTGAGTCTGTCCCCTACTACTCTGGCCTACCTCACGGTCTGAATGTTGTTGGGAGCCTCCACCGTACTGTAGCTGTGATTGGTCCTGCCTCTAGATAAGATGACCATGACCATGTCTTTGTAAGCTAGTCACAGTCATCGCTTGAATTTCATCTATCTACGGTATGGTGGGATATGATATGCTCAAGACTCCTAGTGTATCATGTATAGCCAGCATATCAAACGCCTGCATAAGTCAACAATCAATCAATTTAATAATATCAGAAATTATAAATTGATAAAAAAAAAAATCCATCCAAAACTCACATATCCACTGATGTCTCCAAAAGCTGGCTAATAATGAGTTGAGGGTGGGATGTAGTTAGGGTTGATGAAGCGTCGAGTAATGCTCTTGTACCATACCATGTATGGATCGTTGATACTCCATATGGCCTTGAAAAGGCGCACCATCCACGACGTGCTGCAACCGCTGATCCCACATGTTAATGAAAGGGGCATGTTGAATTGCCCAGCTCATGTCCTGTGCAAGTGGACACTTGTGTCACACGTGGCAGGGACGACCTGGCGAATGCCAAACTGTCGCATGACTCTGTCGGGGAGGTGAGCCTCCATTACATCAAAACAGATGAGGACGGTCATGGCACGCCACTCCATCTGATCATCACGAAGATATGGGGGCATGGCATCGACTAAGTCAGCGACGTACGGATCCCACGTCATCTGCATTAACACGCGTAAGTAACATCATAATTAACTTATTGAAACAATGAACGGGGTGTTAAATTAGTTTTTATAGTGTAATTGATCACCTGTGACTCGCTCAGTTTGTCGAATGCGTCTCTGTAATATGGTAGACCCCTTGCTGCATGCACACGAGTAAGTCTCCGCACCAGCCACCTTACCAGCGTTTATGAGAAATTATTAGCAAAATAAAGCGGTATGTGGAAAATTTAACAACAAGTCATACATACCTGCAACTGTATGCTATGTCTGGTGGAAGGAGTGGCAGAGCCTCATATGCATGCTCCTGATCGTCTTCCTCCTCCTGGCCATCATGCCGTCGACGGCTAGCAGCCCTAGCTGGCCTACCAACGTGGATGTGCTCCCAAGCCCATAACTGTAATAAAAAACACAAGTTAAGTTTAGTCACCGTTAAGTACGTAATAGCTAAAAAATGGTGTGAAATTAAAGGGACTACCTGAAGCACAATCAAGGGACCGCCGATCTCCCATCTATCTCGCTGGGATGCTCTGCATAGATGGCGATACAAGGTCGCCAGACACGCACTACCCCAGCTGTAGTCACGTATCCGCTCCCCGGTGTTCTCTAACAGTTGTAGGTAGATCAACTGTATGTGACTACCACTCTTGTTACTAAATAACGATCCTATCAACATGAACATACGCTCGAGCGTATCTCTGAACGACTCCATCTTCAGCATCAGGAGGCAACACCCCAATTGTCTCTCGTAACCATATGTTTCTTAGCCCTCTGCCTCTAATATCGGTAACCTCGGGCCTTACCCCAACACCCTCTCAACAAGGCCACAAGGGTCTTGTATAATGGGCCTTGTCACTGCCCTACCACTTATTGGGAATCGTGTCAGTATCGCCACATCTCGGAGCGTGACGGTGGCCTCCCCAACTGGTAGATGAAAGGAGTGAGTCTCCTGTCTCCATCTCTCAATGAGCGCAGTAATTAGCGCTCGATCTATAGGTATGAAGGCCATCCTAAGAAATTCGCGAAAACCCACAACATCGATGTAATGTAGTACACGTGGGTCGACGACCCAATCTTCCACCGCCCTCGTGGTGCCTGCAAAGCAAGCACCGTGCTGGATCAACCTGTACAACAACAAAATTTACATTGTTAGATCAATTAACATAAAAATTGCCAAAAACATTAAAGATTTGGTAGCTGAAAACTTACTGACTGCTCCCATATGTCACGACTCCGATAGGTGCCTTAAAGTGTCAGAAGGGTCAGCTGGTCCTGGGTCAGCTCGTGGCGGTCCCTGATCGTGTCCCTCCATGATCTCTGTTCATTGCACAATGTAAAACAAGAAATCAGCTACATTCTAAGTGAAAACATACACACAACATGTTATTAAAATAAGACATAAACTAAGACCAATAACAGTCACCGCCCGTTTGTAACGGACAAGTTCTCTTATTGTGTCTTCCTGATGACAACGACCACATTTGCTTGGTGGACGGTTAGTCTCATCCATTTCATTTCATATACGCTTCAACTTTCGCCGACCATGTCCTCGGACCATGCTCTCATTAGGAATGATTTTAGGCCCTCTGTATGTCCTTCACGTCGTCTCACAAGGAATAGGCCAGAACTGTGGGGCATAAGTATTCGCATACGCCTCCAATCATAGGAAACTGTCCACCCATGGTTCTTCAGAAACTGAATACTTAAGACACACAGCTAGAACATGAGAACACGGTAGGTGAAATATCATAAGCTTGTTGCATTTACATGTTCTCAAATTGAAGTTAACGATATGCTTATAACCTCCTTTTCTGCCTATCCTCTCTCCTCGGTGTGTTTTCACTTGGTATAAACCAAGCTGACGGCTACAAACATCCACTGTATGGTATTTTGCTTTTCCGCTATTCTTCTCCAAAATGGAAGTGACCTTAGGTGAGTATGCATATCCGTCGGCACGCCTAGCAAGTGAACTATCACTTCTTATATTAAAATACTTGTTAACTCTGTGGAAAGTTAACTCGACCAGGGACATGATTGGCAGAAAACGAGCTCCTTTCAACACATTGTTAAATGTTTTGAGAAATTTGTAGTGCATATTCCATACTTACGACCAGCGTCATGAAACATGGACCACCTGCGAAACGGCACATCCATAATGTACTCTAGGAACTTGACACAAGATTCACCGATAGAACGCATATCTTCATCAAATTTTTGTTTTTTCTGCAAAATAATTATTGTCCGTGTACTTGCATGTATTGGAGAAGGGGAATCAAGTGAGAAAAGAAGAATTTGTGCGAAGAACCCTAAATCATGAAATCCCCAATTTCCCTAATTAATTTGTGCGAAGAATCCTAATTCATGAAATCCCCCAATTTCCCCCAATTAATTTGTGCGAAAAACCCTAATTCATTTAATCCTCCAATTTCCCCCAACATTCCAGGGTCACAAGAATAGTTTTTTCTGACAAAGATAAAATCTTTATCACTATTTTCAATTGTTACATCTTTTGGGAGCACATCAAACATACTTTGGATTAATGGCAGAGAAAATGAATTTGAGGAATTGTTCTATAGAAAAAATTGGGGGAAAACAGTAATGAAGGCACAATATAGCCATTATGTGGGTCCCAACCAGTGACGGAAAGTTCACCTGATTTGAAAAAAAGGTGAGAATCTGAATACTTTTTTAATTTAATTGGTGGTAAAATAAAAATAAAAAAAATAAAAAACTAACGGGTGGTTATTTTAAAATAGGTATGGTTTGTGGGTGGTTAATTAAAAATTTTCATATATTTTAATTTAATTTTATTGTTGCAATCCCTACCTTTTCTAAACATTCATACTATCGACTGTTATTTTAACACCCAATAAGGCAATACTAATCGATAGTTACTCGTAAGTCGTTACGTTGACAACTACGGAATGCCTGTTATTTGACCACTCTAATGGTACTTTTAACCAAACAGGACCTTGAAGATGCAGCAGCAACGCCTTGTCACCCTTCCATCTTCGTCTTGGCAAAATTTACTAGAAAACTGAAAGATGAAGATTCAAGCTCAGCGTTTTCATGCCGGTACATCTGTTTTTCTTCCTTTTTCCCTTTTCTCTTCCTCCTCCCCTTTTTATTTTCGAAAATTCTCCCATTTTTCCAGTAAAAGAATTGTTGCAATTGATGACCGTAATTTAATTCTCAATTCTGTTAGAGAACAATGCAAATTAGGGTTTTCCGATCTTAAACTTCCACAATCTCTCTTCAATCAATTGACCTCTTTGCGTCCTCTTCCTTCTATCATTGTTTTCTGTCAGCTTTTCACTGCCATTTCAAAATCGAAACATCTTCATCCCCATTCCACCATTATCTCTCTTTCCAGGCACCTTGAATACTGAGTGTTCGACCTAACAATTATTCCCTCGCCATTCTCGTCAATTCTTACTGCCATCTGGGCTGTATCGATTTCGGGTTTTCTCTTCTTGGTAAAAGGCTTAAGCTTGGGTATCCCCCTGATTGTGTTATCTTTACTACCTTAATTAATGGCTATGTCCACTGTGACAAGCTTCCACTAGCTGCTCAGTTATTAAATAAGATTATCAATTTAGGTTTCCAACCAAATATAGTTACATATGGTGCTATTTTCAAAGGCCTTTGTAGAATAGGCGACAATGCCAGTGCTCTCACTTTGCTTACCAAAATGCATTCTGCTGCTCATTGTAAGCCTAACCTTGTCATATACAACACTATTATTGATAGTCTCTGTAAGGACAGCTTATTACAACAAGCTATGGACCTCTTCTCCGCTATCAAAACCGATGGCATTCAACCTAATGTTGTCACCTATACTTCCTTGATTCGAGGCCTCTACAATACTGGATGCAGGGAAGAGGCTAAGGCTGTGTTGACTGAGATGTTAAAGACCAACATAGCGCCTACTGTTGTGACCTACAGCACGCTGGTTGACATGTTTTGTAAAGATGGGAATGTTAAGGAAGCACAAGCCACATTGCAGCTCATGACTCATAAAGGTGTTACTCCAAACATCTTTACTTACAATGCTTTACTTGATGGTTATTGTTTGCGTGGTCAAATGAGAGATGCAAAAAAGCTACTTGATATCATGGCCCAAAATGGTTGTGAGCCTGATCTTGTAAGTTTGAATTCTATGATCAATGGATATGTCAAACTCAAAAACATTGACAAGGCTCTTACTGTATTAGAAAATATGTTTCAGAAAGGAATAACACCAGATGTTGTAACCTTTAACACCCTTATGGATGGCTCGTGTAAAGCCAATAGACTTACACTTGCACGCCAGTTGTTCACAGATATGCAAGCTCACGGAGTTACTCCTGATGTTGTCACATATAATTCATTGATTGATGGCCTATGTAAATGTAAACGGCTTGATGAGGCAGTGGGATTACTTGAAGATATGGAGGATAAAGGCATTAAGCCTACTACTGTCACTTACAATATCCTAATGGACAGCTTGTGTGAGGCTGGGCAACTTGAAGATGCAGCAAAAATCTTCTCTGATCTTGTGTCAAAAGGGTTTGCAGCCTAGTCTTAAAACATACAATATTTTAGTTAAAGGCTTTTGCAAGAAGGGGTTAATGAATGATGCTGATGATGTTTTGAGTAAAATGGAGAAAGATGGTTATTTACCCGATGCTATTACCTACAATACGCTCATCAGAGGATATATTCTTAGTAATGACTTTTCCAAGGCATTATACTATCGTGATCTCATGGTTAGCAAAGGATTTGAATCTGATGCACACACCTTTTTTATTTGTTGACTTCTTGTCTATCGGTAACTTAAGTCTCTCATCCAAGGGCTTACTTCAGAAGTTTATCAAGATAATTGTATTTTATGTCTTCATAGTTAGATTGTAGATTTGTAATGGCTATGGGCTTCACTTTAATTGTAGTATACTGCTGGTGTATGTGATGAGAAATATATTATAGTGAATCTGTTTCATTTGAGCCAAGTCTGATGTACTTCACAATTACTGATAGGTTCTTACAAGTCTCTGAACTTAAATTACTGTGGTTTATATTTCGGGTTGGTTTTAAATTGCAACATTCTTAATTATAAAGTATTATGTACAGTATTATTTTTCAATGGAGTCTTTATTTATCTTGCATCAGGACTTTTGAAGTTACTTTACGGTATAATATTGTTGTCTAGCTAATTCACCATTCAAGGCATATGCGATTTTTCAATATTTACATTGATAAGATTTGGCCTTCAGGCATGAACTAATTCTGAACTCACTCACCAATTTCAAGTTTCAAGTAAAAATCAGTCCAAAGTAGATGCGATTAGTAACCTTTGGTTCTCCCTAGTACCCTCCCGATTTCTGAGCGAAAAATGCTCGAGAACACCAATGATCAACTTTTATACACCAAGGAAAAATAGAGAGGGTCTATACTCTATACAACATTGTTTAAGTTAATAAACCTTATTTGACATTAAAATACTACACAAGCAGTGCCTTCTTATTTGTTAAGTATCAATTGATTTCTCATACATCCAAGCTTCTTACCAAGTCATTTGTTAATTATATTACGAATGACAAAAAAAGTGAGTCGCAACCATTGGGCTATAATTCTATATCACAACATACACTTCAGATTAAAGTTGGATGTTACTTTCGGTGATAAATTACAACCAGTTAGTAATAGAACCATAGTAAAAAAGACGGCCATATTCAGGTCTTGTGCAGGACTTGCAATTGTTCATTTCTCTCTCTAAAAGCTGCTTTTACAACATAGGGTGTAAGGGGTAAAAAAGATACTAACACAGAAGGGGGCACCAGACAATATATAAAAGGAGTAAAAAGGAACAGATACTCAGACTACGAAACCACATCTTCCATAATAATAATGATTCCCTCTGCTCTTCATTATCTCATCAAATTTGATTTCACAATCCAAGAAATGGACATTGCTTCCTTGCATGCTCGGGGATCAATCGGACAACTGTTTCTGCTGGCACTCCTTTCAACTCTGTACAGTGTTGCGATAAAGAGAAAAAGTCAGCTCAAATCTTAGATGGAGTAGTGGCACAACAACATAGTCTTTCCTTTGATCAATTCTTACCATGAGGCTTCAAGTTAAACAACGGGGGAAGAAAGCGACCATTTGGCAAGCAGATATAAGATATATTATGCTCGCCTTTTATCTGCAGGTGAGGAGATGGTATTTAGATGGCATAACCCAAAGGTAACATACATCTGAAGTAATGTGATGACTAAAAACAAATTTACCCACATACCAGAACTTTTGCACTTCCAAAGTCACAAAGCTTCAGATCGGGTCAAATTTTAAAGTTGAATCATGCTATATTATTATGTTCACGCAAAACCAAATCTGAAACGGATATTTGTACCTCTTGTCCTGAAGAACCTTTTTTATAGCCACAGTTTCCCCTGTTTCTAAGCACTTTGCCTACACGAGTATAAGAACACAAATTAGCAAACTAAGAACAAATGTTTCAGAAAGGAATAACACCAGATCTTGTAACCTATAACACTCTTATTGATGGCCTGTGTAAAGCCAACAGACTGACACTTGCACGCCAGTTGCTCACAGATATGCAATTTCACGGAGAAACTCCCGATGTTGTCACATATAATTCATTGCTTGATGGCCTGTGTAAAAGTAAACAACTTGATGAAGCAGTGGCATTACTTGAAGATATGGACGATAAAGGTATCAAGCCTACTACTGTCACTTATAATATCCTTATGGACAGCTTGTGTGAGGCTGGGCAACTTGAAGATGCAGCAAAAATCTTCTCTGATCTTGTGTCAAAGGGTCTGCAGCCTAGTTTTAGAACATACAATCTATTAGTTAAAGGCTTTTGCAACCCCTTGGGTGTCAAACTAATTGCTTATACTAGGATATTGTGTTTACCCGTAACCCTAAACCCTGAAGTTTTTTAATTAATCAAATTTTCTTACACGATTACATGCATAGATAAAGTGTTTATAATGATAAGCTATATTGTCAAATTACCTTCATTTTGCTATGTTATTCGTATTAGAAATATGCGAAAAACCAATTAAAATAAGTATTAAAAAAAAAATCCCTATTTATAATAGTAATAATAATATTATTAATTTGTGCAGTACGTATCTATTATTTTTAATAATATGCATAAAATAACTTATATTTTATACTTAAACTATACCTTATGAGTTATAATATAGACATCTAGATTACTCATGCAATACTCTTTTTTTTTTTTTTTTTTTTTTTTTTTTTTTAAGGAACATGCAATACTCTCTTTGTACCTATTTAGTTGACACACTTTAATTAGCACATGATTTATGCAATGATATAATTGATTGCACCTATAGTTGATCCTCAAATCCGAAGTTAACAAGAGAAAAAACTTTAGGTGTATTATTACCTTAGAAGGTGGCTTCAATGGAGGAGAGAGAAAGCTTGGAAGTGCGCTTCAATGGAGAACTGAAGAGTATGCTTCAATTGAGAACTGAAGAGTATGCTTCAATGGAGAAGAGAGAAAGAGAGAGAAGTTGCAGCGTAAAAGTGAAAAGCTCCAATTGGAAATGGTGGTGTGGGCTGGGAGTGGTGGCCGGCCGTTTTCGGAGGTTAAGGAGGGCGGCCGGCCGGATTTTGGTGGTGGCTCGGGGTAGGGGCTAGGGTTTCACGGTGGTTGGGGTGGCTAGGTTTTGTTTTTTCTTTTTTTTTTTTTAATTTTTTTATCCAATAAAAAAATGACACGTGTACAATGTGGGGCCCACTAATGGTTTTTTGGATGGAAAACGTTAATGGGTAGTGCTACCCAAACGTTTTCAAACTTGCGGTTAGTTGTACACAAATAAAAAAAAAAGGGTAGTTCTTCACAAATGAGCCTATGGTCCTGGTAGTTCTAGACAAAGTTCCCTAACATTATTTTTACATTTAGTCATTTTTGAAAAATACGAACTACCTAATATAAAAGGTATAATAAAAATGGGAAAAAGAAAATGGAAGATATTGGGATGATTATTAAAAAGGTATACGGAGTAATAAAAATGGAAAAAAAAAGGGAAGATATATGTTAACTAAATATGGAAAAAATATCTTAGGTTATATAATATTGTTTAAGAAGATATTGACAAAAAACAAAAATTTAAAAAAAAAAACATTTTGGGGGGAAAATTTTTAACCAAGAGATGACATGTGTCATTCCTAATGTCTGTTTTAGTATTATGTTATTGATTAAATATAGTCATGTATTTATTTGTTTGAATCATTTCAATGTAATTTCCATATATCAACAATTTATAATTCATAGCTATAAAACTAAATACTACAAAGTATATCATTTGTCAAAGTTTTGTGGCAAATGTGTCTATTAAAATGAGACAGATAAAAAAGAGTCATTGTACTTTTCTAGCTAGTCTTTCAATGCTTTTTTTAGAAATTATAAGTAATAAGTAAATTATTCCTACTCCGTATTTACTTATACTACACTTAAATACTTAATTAATCTTATATTTATCAGTATTTCCAATAACAATTTGCTACGTATCGAAAAAAAAAATTCATATGAACTCACTTAAGTAACCTATTCTTAAATAACTCTTCAATCTTCTCTCTCTTACTTTCACTTTTACTTTTCTCTCTCTTTACCTTTAAAATTTCATCCACAACCACTACCAATCAAAGCACCACCACCATGCAAACCACCACGATTCCGTCACCACCAAGCAAAGCCACCACAATTCCGTCGCCACCAAGGGTTGCAACCGACTACAAGAGACGATGTCAAGAAATCGAAAAGGTAAGGGGGTTGGCGATCAGGTACTTGTTTTACATTTTTTTTTTAATTTCAGTCGTTCCAGACGAACGCCTGAAATTTTAGAATGTTCCACGAAGGAACACGTGAAATTTTAGAATCTCCCCGGGAACATTCTAAAATTTCAGGCGTTTCCCCCCATAACATCCTAAAATTTCAGGCGTTTCCCCCCTTGAACGCCTGAAATTTTAGAATGTTCTAAGAGTGATTCCAAAATTTAAGGTGTTCTTTTTATGATTACGAAATAAAAATAAAAAATAATAAAAACCGACAAAAATTCAGAGCATTCACCGACTTCATATGCGCCGACGACCTTTCCAGTGGCGTCGTTGCTTCCTTAAACTCGTCCATTCACCATTTGCGCTAATTGGTGAAGAGTAAAGCAATTTTTTTAAAAAAAAAAATATGACGTGGTGGTTGTTCGTAGGTGATGGTTGTTTGGTGGTTGGGTGGGATAACAAGTTAGATAGTGGTTAATGAAAGTGAACGTGAAATAGGATACATTTTATATGGGGACATGTTTGTAAAGTCATGTTAAAATATGAACGTTACCTAGTAAATACCGAACGTGGTTTAGCAATTCACAAAAGGAAACTACAATGACCAGCATAATGCGAGCCAATGTGACAAGCTCAAATAAGAAAAACAATTTTGTTTCAAAAAAAAGAGAAAAACAATTGAAATATACTTGAAGCGGCACTTGTATACTCACTCTTAGAGATGAAGACGACATTCACAGCTCCAATTTTAAGCTCTTTTCCTTTCTTTCATGGCGTTCAAGGTATTTCCCTTCTTTCTTTCTCCCTTTTACATTCCAGACATTTCTCCTCCATTCCTATTATTCATGATCGTCTTCAATTTCTTAATTCTGTTAAACAACAATGCAATTTAGGGTTTTCCGATCTTAAACTTCCACAATCTCTCTTCCATCAATTGACTTCTTTGCGTCCTCTTCCTTCTGTTATCGTTTTCAATCAGCTCTTCACTGCCATTTCCAAATTAAAATGGCTTCGTCCTCATTCCACCATTATCTCTCTTTCCAGGAACCTTGAATTACTGGGTATTCGACCTGATATGCATTCTATTGGTATTCTTGCTACTTCTTACTGCCATTTGGGCTGCATCGATTTTGGGTTTTCACTTCTTGGTAAAATGCTTAAGCTTGGTTATCCCCTTGATTGTGTTATCTTTAACACCTTAATTAATGGCTATGTCCACTGTGGTAAGCTCCCCCCTAGCTACTCAGCTGCTGAATAAGATTCTGAAGTTGGGTTTCCAACTATTGTTACATATGGTGCTATTTTCAAAGGCCTTTGTAGAATCGGCGACAATGCCAGTGCTCTCACTTTGCTTACCAAAATGCATTCTGCTGCTCATTGTAAGCCTAACCTTGTCATATACAGCACTATTATTGATAGTCTCTGTAAGGACAGCTTATTACAACAAGCTATGGACCTCTTCTCCGCTATCAAAACCGATGGCATTCAACCTAATGTTGTCACCTATACTTCCTTGATTCGAGGCTTCTACAATTCTGGATGCAGGGAAGAGGCTAAGGGTTTGTTGACTGAGATGTTAAAGAGCAACATAGCACCTCATGTTGCGACCTACAACACGTTGGTTGACATGTTTTGTAAAGATGGTAATGTTGAGGAAGCGGAAGCGATTTTAAGACTCATGACTGACAAAGGTGTAGCTCCTGACATCATTACTTACGATGCTTTACTTGATGGTTATTGTTTGCGTGGTCAGATGGAAGATGCAGAAAAGCTACTTGATATCATGACCCAGAATGGTTGTGAGCCTAATGTTGTAAGTTTTAGTACTATGATCAATGGATATGTCAAACATAAAAACATTGACAAGGCTTTTACTGTATTAGAAGAAATGTTTCAGAAAGGAATAACACCAAATGTTGTAACCTACAACACCCTTATTGATGGCTTGTGTAAAGCCAATAGACTTGCACTTGCACGGAAGTTTTTCACAGATATGCAAGCTCATAGAGTTGCTCCTAATGAAGTCTCGTATAGTTCATTGCTTGATGGCCTATGTAAATGTAAGCGGCTTGATGAGGCAGTGGCATTACTTGAAGATATGGAGGATAAAGGCATTAAGCCTACTACTGTCACTTACAATATCCTAATGGACAGCTTGTGTGAGGCTGGGCAACTTGAAGATGCAGCAAAAATCTTCTCTGATCTTGTGTCAAAGGGTTTGCAGCCTAGTCTTAAAACATACAATATATTAGTTAAAGGCTTTTGCAAGAAGGGGTTAATGAATGATGCTGATGATGTTTTGAGTAAAATGGAGAAAGATGGTTATTTACCCGATGCTATTACCTACAATACGCTCATCAGAGGATATATTCTTAGTAATGACTTTTCCAAGGCATTATACTATCGTGATCTCATGGTTAGCAAAGGATTTGAATCTGATGCACATACTTTTTTTATTTGTTGACTCCTTGTCTATCGGTAACTTAAGTCTCTCATCCAAGGGCTTACTTCAGAAGTTTATCAAATGAATTGTAATGCAAGTTTTCTAGTATTTGAGATCTTGGACCTTGGATGTCAAACTAACTTTTGATGCTAGGGTGTCATTATGATCTTTATACAAAGTGACGTTCCTCCATTGTGGTCTTAAAATGCAAAACCATATGAGGAGTCGGGCAGAGCCTCAGATAAATGGTATGCACTTTGGTTTCCCATTTCTACTTTGTTCCAATTTTCAATATCTACTTTGTTGCATGTCTATGATTCTAGATTAGCTTATCCTGTAGGCAACTTCATTTGTTACCACTCTTATCAGACATGCTGGTCTTTGGATTATTTTTTTTAATCCTTATATATTTTACAGCAGATTAGGTTTAGAAAAATGGCCTAATAATTTGGAAACTTGTCATGCTTAAGTTAAATTTTACTGGACATTGAGTTGATCTAGCTTCTGATTCTATCACGATAAGCATCGGCTGTTGGATTTGAGATTACCTTTTTTTTTTTTTTTTTTTTTTTTCAATTCCTGTCACACAGGAAAAGATGGAAATATCTTGATTTTTGATGCTCTATACTTGGAACTTTGGAAGAATATAAAGAGATTGGAAATGGTTAGCTCTCTGATTGATACAGATCAGAAAAATATTGCTGGCCTCCTGGCTATCAAGATGGAACTTGCTCATTTTTTCCTGCTGCTCTGGTGCAACATTTCCTTATTCTTTGGGCAATAATTGTGCAATGATTGGTTTATAGTTCTGAAGTTACATGGACAAATCTATCACTAATTCATTATTAATATGGTAAGATTTGGCCTTTGGGCATGAAATAGCACAACTAGTTGAAGTTTCAAGTAAAAATTAGTCCATTGTAGATGTGATTTATAAGATTTTATTCAGACGATGTATATTCTTGTGTAGCGCAATAACAAGAAAATGAGGCGCAACCATTGAGCTAATATATATCACAACATACACTTCCAAAATTCTGTTTAAGGTTGGCTGTTACTTTCAATGATAGATCACAACCAGTTAAAAATGTAAACCATAGTAAAATAGAGACCCAAATTAAATTAATTAAACTTAGAAAGATTCTCATTGGATTTGTCATAATATTCATATTAATAAAGAATCTTTTAAATGTAAGACACACATTAGAAAATCCCATGAATAAAATCAAACTAAAGTTAATTACGGCGTATTATGTTAAGCTAAACCAATAGCTTAAGACTATTCTATTCCCTAAAGTAATTAATCAACCAAGTAAAATGTCACGATTTAGCCATAGTATTAGTATATTGCATGGCCAGAGTTTAGGATTATAGCAATTTAATGTGAGCACTTCTAATCCAACATATAAGTCGATGAAAATTTTCATTATACACCCGTATGGTACACTCGTTGATAAACAACAAACATTTATTGTAAAAACTACAATTTATTTTAAGATAAACCCACTACAAAGATACAATTTTTTTTTTTTTTTCAACATGGAAATAAAATTTATCAAATGGTAATAGAAGTTAAATATAAATGTTAAACTCAAATATTAACTCGGCAAAGCTTCTTTTATTGTACATATCACTTTTAAGTCATTGAAAATTAGATCAATGAGAAGGATGACGGTCCATTTTCATACATTATTGAGGAATGAAGAGATGGAGGGACCCCCATGTGATAGGGGTTCGATTCCTCATAGCCCCCACTCCCGTGATAGGGTGGGGGGCCCTCGTAATTTATCGTTAAAATAATAAAATCATACAATATAGTTGATAAAGAAATACGAAGTATTAGGGTATTGAATCTTTAAATGGAGTGATTTACTAAAGTTTTATGGATTTTTTTAAGGGAAAATAATTCTAATTTTTGCCCGTTTGCTCAAAATCCATAAATGATCCTAACCGGACACCAACCTGTTATAACTTATAAAGCAAGTTAAGTTAAAAATTTTAATATTTTTTTTTAAGAAAAATTTTAAAAAATAAAAATAAATAAATAAAAAAAAACCTCAGCCCCACCACCAGCCACGACCCTTCCCGAAACCCCCCACCTTTTCCCCTATTTGAGCAAACGGGCAAAATTTGAGATTATTATTACCAATTCTCGCATTTTAAAAGTTGAAGCACAATTTTCTAAAAAAAAAAAAAAAAAAAAGTTATTTTATTTCCTTAGTAAGCCTTGACTCTACTAATCAAAAAATTGTATTATGCTGTGTGCTGTAGTAAAGTTCATTGCTCTGTTTTTCCCCTCTCTTCTTATATACTGTATAGTGCATATTCTGAAATACTAGAAATCTCAAATTGTATTGTGGACTGATTTTCAAGTAATGCAGGAACCTTTATTGAAGTGTTTCTGATGACTTTGAATTATTGCAGGAAACTTATATAATGAAGCTGAGTGAAGATCAGTTGTTGCAATTGCTTTCTGTCGTTTGGATACTAGCCAATCTTTCAGATAATTTATCATCAAACTTTGAACAATAGCTCATTCTTATTGCTTGATGCTGATATCTTCACACTTAAAGGTTAAAATAATCCAAGAACTATTTTTAGCACAGCTTTGGTTCCCTTTTCTTTGTCTTGCTTTTCTTGTGCTGCTGTCATATATTTTAATGTTCCTTTGCATGAAGTGGGGAATGTCTTTGCCAAAATGTGTCCCATGATTCATGAAATCTTAGTAACCATTAATTGCATGGATCATTTCAGAAGTATAGCAACACCTTTTGTTTTTTACTCATACACTAGCCGAACTCTTATATGCATAATACAAATCAGATGGAACTTGGGAATTAAGCACATCATTCAACTCAACCATCTGATACATTATAGCTGCAAGCATTGGACAATTTGGCTATGCAATTGATAACCAATCAGCTATCTCTTTCCTCTCTGAATTACTATAAAAAGAAAAATCTTGATCACGAGAAGATTAACGATGGACATCGTAGCGCAATATCTTGGCTATATAATTAAGGTATGTGCGGCTGCTGAATGTTAAATCGTCATGTTTTGGTTTATCTTTAGGGGATTTGAACTAGAAATTTGTACATATATTCTCTTAGATAGAAGAAGCTTTTTATCTTTTCTTCTATCTAAAAGAATTGATTCCTTGAATGATTCCCCTTCTCTGGATGGTGTACATTGGTATGTGTACTGTCAATTCAATTGGTTTGGAAATTTGACTAGTTGTCAAAAATTTTGAGTGACAAATAGTTATCATGTTGCAGGTATTATATGCAAGTCAGTTGTTGAAGATGATGTGACAAGTTCAATGTCGGTTTTGAATATTTCTGTCCAAAGAGTGCTACACTCCTGTTCAGATTCTCATATTATGAACATCGGACAACCTTTAAACTCAGTGAGTCTCTCCCTCCCTCTTTTTATCTCCTTGTAATGCCAAAAAATCCAATATGAAGTATATCACTGCGTGGACAACCTGGATAGCCTGTGAAGTGATATCTGAACAAAAAGGTCATCAATTTTAGTTTCAGTTGCATTTTTTGTTTACACAGGTTACGTCTCATATGGATGGTGCACATGGAGAATATGACCTCACAAGCAGCTAAGCTCTCTGAGATTGCCTCCTCCAGCCCCTTTGACAACTTCCTCCATATAATTTCGGGTCCAAGAACTATGTTAGACTATCCGTCTAAAGGGGTTGGAAACAGGAATTTTGGCCAGTCAAGTATATTGGGCTACGTGTTAGTGTGTACTGACTACTGAGTTGTTTTTTTTAATCTAATCTAATTGATGCGATAGTGACTCAGTGCCTTCTTTTTGTTCTTTGTTCATAGTTGTAATAGTTGTGTGAATGGTCTAGGAAAGTTTATGGCTGATATTGAATAAAAGTTCCAATTTATCCAAAGACATGTTTTGTAATGATGGTAATGTTGAGGAAGCGGAAGCGATTTTAAGACTCATGACCGACAAAGGTGTAGCTCCTGACATTATTACTTACAGTGCTTTACTTGATGGTTATTGTTTGCGTGGTCAGATGGAAGATGCAGAAAAGCTACTTGATATCATGGCCCAGAATGGTTGTGAGACTAATCTTGTAAGTTTGAGTACTATGATCAATGGATATGTCAAACTCAAAAACATTGACAAGGCTCTTACTATATTACAAATTATGTTTCAGAAAGGTATAACACCAAATGTTGTAACCTATAGCACTCTTATTGATGGCTTGCGTAAAGCCAATAGACTTGCACTTGCACTTGCACGGAAGTTTTTCACAGATATGCAAGCTCACGGAGTTGCTCCTAATGTTGTCACATATAATTCATTACTAGATGGCCTGTGCAAAAGTGCACAGCTGGGTGAGGCAGTGGCATTACTTGAAGAGATGGAGGATAAACATATCAAGCCTACTACTGTAACTTACAATATCCTAATGAACAGCTTGTGTGAGGCTGGGCAACTTGAAGATGCTGCAAATTTCTTCTCTGATCTTGTATCCAAGGGTCTGCAACCCAATTGTAAGACATACACTATAATGATTAAAGGCTTCTGCAAGGAAGGGCTCATGAGTGAAGCTGCTCACTTGTTAAGCAAAATGCTGGAAAATGGTAGCCCCCCTAATGATTGTACCTATAATACGATCATCCGAGGATACATTCTCAATAATGACAATTCGAATGCATTATACTATCGCGACATTATGGTTAGCAAAGGATTTGGAGTTGATGCTGACACTTTCTCGTTGTTTGTTAGCATTTTGCCTTCTGGTAACTTGTGTGACTCATCAAAGGATCAACTTTAAAACTTATTCATTGACTTGAGATTAACTATCTTTTTTAGGTATCTTATCTATCTTTCTATGATGTATGATCTCTAATATGAAATTAGTGGGCATCAACTGATTTTTTATTTTATTTTTTTTTATACATTCAATTTAAGTCCAATGCTCTGTATTTGCTGATTTATCTGTATTGTGACTAACAAAAGAATTGAAGTGGATTGCAACATGAAAAAAAGGGAATGCAATAAACAGTGATAAGCAACCATTAACCTTTTTTTTTTTGGTTGGTAATTCAGCCTTCAGTCTGTAACCCATATTGACAGTCCATATTATGTCTCAATGTGTGCTTGATCTGCATAGACTATGTCAAATATAATGTTCCAGATTATACTATAAGATATACTTTTAGAAAGCATGTACTACGTGCATTGATGACAGAAACAGAACATATTCTGAGTCTTGATCTGAAAAGGTATAGTTCACTTGTTGATTGTTGAATTCTTCACTCTTTGGGACTCTAATTGATATGTATGAGTATGCTATTCCAATGTTTGCTCCTCACTTTTGTAATTGTTTGAGCAATGTCGACCCTAAATTCTTTGTTTAGCATCCCCTCCCTCCTTTGTTGCAGCTATCACAGGAACTTTCAGCAGAATAGGGAAGAGTATACAATAGGAACGTTATGCTGGCTGAGAGGTCCTGATGTTATATTAGTTTGTTTTAGCCTGACATCATATTTTTTTTTTATTTTTTTTTCTCTTTTAGTGTTGAATAAATTCCTTAACTAAATACGCACACTCTTAGGTTATTGTTTTGAATTATTTGATCCCCTTCCAACCACCTCGTATCCTTCATCGCAGTGGCGGGACATAGGTGGACTATGATTGTCAGTCATAATTCAGCCCAATCACGATGTCTGATGAATCTGAATATAATGTCGAGAGGTGAGATGATAGTTGCACTACCGATTTAGGGTGTTACTAGGTGTCTTGGTGAATTAATCCATCAGTTTTGTAGAAATTCATACTTGAAATTGAAACTAATGTTTGGAATTTTGAATTAAGGTCATGTTAGACTTGGTCTAGGCTAACAAGATTTATGTACCAAGTATTGTATTAAGTTGCTTAATCTGTCATTGTAATATATACTCAGAATGCTAAAATGTGCTGAACATGTTCCGCGGGTATGTATTACTAAATTGAAACAGATAATAATATTTCAGTTCTGTCCGATACAATCAAATATATCTTACACAGCTATGAATCAATGAGCTCCTTATGCATGCAGCTTGATTTTTTATTTTATTTATTTATTTTTTAACGCAAATGTACTCTGCAATCTAGAGCCTTTACGTTCCCAAGTTTTGAACCAAAGACCAACTGATCTAACTCACCAATTAGAATAAGTGTTTTTAACCCATCAACTCCCATACCAGCTTATTTAAGCACCTTAAGTTTATTTAAGAATTAAAATTGATCCATAAAATCTACTTTGTATTAGTTAAAGATTATGTTTGAGAAGTGGAATTTGATTTTGTTCCAAATTTTGAATAATTTTTATTTTTAATTGTGATAAATAGCCTAAAAATAGTTAATTCATTAACAAAAAAATAAACAAAAGTCAACCGCAATTACGTCCTAAATAATAAAACGACACTCTAACCCAAAATCATGTGTTGGGTCAAGTCCTCGCCCTTGTACAAACCAAGTTCAACATACTTAGATACTAACCCGACCTATTAAATCAATTTTTGTTAATCATCAATTTTTTTTATTTTTTTATTTTTAATTTTTAATTTTTTTTATTTTTTTACACAATTAATCATCAAAATTGAAAATTCAATGGTTTGATAAATCTAGCAAGTCCACATCCACCTTAGCCATTATTTTTACAGGCCCATAAAAATTCGACCCAATTTTCTTTCCTAATCTCATTTTACCATTTTCCCCTAAAAACCTTAGCTAACTTTTCTTCTCTCTCTTTCTCTCTCCTTCACTCTGAGCTCAAGAAGATATCTCCGGAAAAAAGCTTCACACCAAAAATGGCTCACTCGTTTATGGCGTTACAACCTTCTTCTACAACAACTCCAAGACTCAACACTTCCATCTTCGACCTCCACTCTTCTTCTCGCTCCTTTGACTCTCATTTTCTCTCTCTTCCTTTCAAGCCTCTTTCCTCCAGGTAATTGTGTGTTAATCACTCGAGATTTGTTTGATTTCTTTTTATTTTCGTCGGTAAATTGTAATTCATCGATTTTTAATTTTTGGATAGGGTTTTGAAATCGAGTAATTCTACCGAGAAATTTCGTCGAAGTTCTAGTGTTAAGGCGTTGTATTCTGATGGATTTGGAACTCCTCGACGAAATGAACGCTCTGGAATTTGGTCCGTTAGGTAGGGTTTATCGAAATTAATTTAGTTCAATTTTATCGATTTGATTGATTATTATTGTTGTTGTTTGTGTACTTTTGTTTTGTTTAATTGTAATGGAGGTTTGGAGTATATGAAATTTGAATTGAATTTTGTAGAGATGATCTGTTGGTCCCGTCTTCGCCGTATATTCCTGCTTATGCTGGTCAAGGACCGCCTCCTATGGTACAAGAGAGGTTTCAGAGTGTGATTACTCAGTTATTTCAATATGTAAGGGTTTTGTTTTTGAATTTTGATTGATTTTGTTTGTTTATTAGCTATTTGGTGATTGAAATTAGAAGTTTATTTGTTCGGTATAGAGAATTATTCGGTGTGGTGGCGCGGTTGATGATGATATGGCTAATGTAATTGTTGCTCAACTTCTATACCTCGATGCCGTTGATCCTACCAAGGTTGGTTTGCTGCTTTTGAAGCTTTGAATACAGTTTACAATTGTTTTGCTGAATTAAATTAAGTTGGTGGTCTAATTAGAAAAACCCTGTTTTGCTTACTTCTGTATACTTATTGCTGAGTTCGCAATTCAGTGGTTGTATTACGATGTTTTCCTTACTTGAACGATTATTACATGAGAACTGGATCACATGGAATCAAAACCATTTTCTTAGGTGCCATTAAGCCTTCTTTGTGATCAGGCGTTGTTTCCATATTCTTTTGAAAGTGTTGTGAGTTAGCTTTTTATTTGATTCACTAATTTTAAGCTAGCTGGCTTGTAATGAGAAGTTACTCCACCAAGCTTCTGAAAAGTTTTAAGCTAGCTTACTATAAACTTATTTTTCATTTGACCATGCTACATATAGAAAATTACTACCCTATCGGCCCACTATTCTATTTATGTGGATACATCAGTTTACGTACCCAATAGGATTTTCTGCTAGCAGTTTTTCCAGCATTTACCTGTTGTTTATATCAAATAGCACTAAGTTTATAAATGCAGATTAGAGGAAACTATACTAGTATATGTTTTTTTTAAAGTCTATTCTACTGATAAGTATGATAACATACAGATCACTCTTATTTTTGCTAGCATGGTATATACACGTTCTTGCTCTCTTGTAAGTGCCTACTCAGCATGTTGTGCTGCAAAGAAAGAATTAAGTCTGCAATGCAAAGTTAAGCTGTGATTGATAGTTATATTGATCATCTTTGTGCACCTGGTGTCTTCTAAGGATTTGTGAAATCATATGCTGGTTTAAACTTTCACTAGAATATACATAATGTGCTAATCCATTTCCTTGGGATCATGACTAATGTGCAGTACCCTTATTGAATGGTATTGACAAATATCAACTTATGATATTTGATTTTTTGGATTTTACTACCATACCTCTCTATTTGTATTTGATATATTTGTGGTGACATGCACAGGATATTGTCATGTACGTGAATTCCCCTGGAGGATCAGTTACAGCTGGTAACCTTTGTTTGTTTATTTGAGTTCACTTTACAGGCATGTGATGGCATCTCCTCACTTTCTTTCCTTAGCAAGTTAACTGTTCCTAATCATTGTCTTGTTAGGAATGGCTATATTTGACACGATGAGGCACATCAGACCTGATGTCTCCACTGTATGTGTTGGACTTGCAGCAAGGTGACTTAATATTTTCCAATTATTTTAATTCATTTTCATCATTATCTCATATCTATGCTTTCAATCGGTCAATCGGTAACTCGTTCTTTGTTACAATTTTAGCAACTAAAGGTATCTTTATTTTTGCCTTTTAGCTCCATTGATGCTGATAATTTTAGGTGGCTCCATTTGTCATGTTAGTCCATGTGTATGTGTTGAATCTTCTTGTAGAGAAGCAACTCTTACCAGTAACACCTTCCTCTTTATGCATTTTTCTTCACAAGATTCCCCCTCCCCAGTTCCCAACCTTATATTTTGAGTGTTTTTGTAAGTTTCCATACTTTAACGGTGTGTTTGGATTGAAGGAAATGTAGGGAATGGAAGGAAAATGAAGGGATGGATTATCTTTCATTTGGATAACAAATGAGAAAGGAAGGGAATTGGAGGGTAGAGAAATGGAGGGATTAAATTGTAAGAAATTCATTTCTCCATCAATGGAGAGATTTGGAAGGAAAACTCAACTTTCTTTCCTCCCCTTCCCTTCCCTTCCCTTCCCTTCCACTCCCTTCCCCTCCCTCCCCTTCTTTTCCTTCCCCTTTTAATATCCAAACACACTGTAAATCAGTTTAGGACTTTAGGTGTTTGGAGGAGACCTATCATCGTTCTTTCATGTTCAACCTCAGAAGCAGTAAATAATTGTAAGGTTGCAATGTAATTGAAGTCTTTTAGCCCTAAGTGTAATATTTACCCATCTCTTCTTAAAGCATTTTGCTATTCCTGTCAAGTCGGCTCCTATGGTGTCTTTTGTTGTAGTTTTATGCTCCCATATTCCATATGAGTGATATATTTTGAGCCTTGTAGGGTGTTCTGCCTTTTAGGTGTCTTCCTAACTTAACTGGTTCCTGGGTTTTTGAGTGGCAAATGATTTCTTATTTCTGTGTTCGGCTTTTCCATGTGTGTATATTAAAATGGTTGCTATTTTGTATGTGAATGTTATCTATCTAATAGGTAACTTGTATGATTTCTGAATTCTATTGGCCTTCTTGTGCAGTATGGGAGCATTCCTTCTAAGTGCGGGCACCAAAGGTGAATCTTTTATACATGATTGATTCTTAAATTACTGACAATGTAGATTTTGCATCACTATCAGAGGCTTATTACTGTTTCTACTTATTGATAAAATAAAAATTTATAGGAAAAAGGTATAGCTTGCCTAATTCAAGGATTATGATCCATCAGCCTCTCGGTGGTGCACAGGGTGGTCAAACTGACATAGATATCCAGGTAATACTCTCACCTTCTAATATCACATCCTTTTACATTGTTGGCTCCAGCTCTTAGAAAATTATCCCAGTTTTCTTGTTACCTTAATCTATTTCTGTGCACACACGTGACTTTATGTGAAAGCATAGATTCATTCCTATATGCTTACATTAGTCACGACCTTCATTTACTTGACCTCGTCAACTTTAATGTGGAATTGGAAACACCTTAATGTGAATTCAATTGTTGATCATATTCCTCTGGCCAGGCAAATGAAATGCTGCACCACAAGGCAAATCTCAATGGTTATCTGGCCTACCACACTGGTCAAAGCTTGGCAAAGATCAATCAAGACACTGACCGTGATTTCTTTATGAGTGCCAAAGAAGCCAAAGAATATGGGCTCATCGATGGTGTCATTATGAACCCTTTAAAAGCACTACAGCCACTAGCTGCTGCAACTGCTGATCAGGCATCGTGATAGCAGCGGGTCAATTGTCGTCGTGTTAGTCTTAGAAGATACTGCAGTGGAGTCCGTTCTCACTGCAGGCACACACTCTCATAGTATGAATTTTGAATATATGACAAGGAATTAAGTACTAGATGACTTGTTTGGTTGATGGAAGGGAATTCGGTCTTGAGACTTGAAAGATTAATCTACTGTGCACCTATGATGTGATATGAAAGATTGAATTGTAGGTCATTCTTGTAATTTGGTCAAAATCATACCTTGTTTGTAATCCTGTTGCAATCAGAAAATGGAAGATTATTAGAAATTTCTTGCATAATATTTGAACTATTATTTGACAACTCTGATTAGAAATTGTGGAGTTGAAAAGTTCCAAGTGAATTAATAAATAAATTAATAAAGAGCTGTAATTTACTAAATTAAATGAGGGTGAACATATATTTAAGTGTTGTTTGGTTGAAAGATAATTTCCTTGGAAATGGAATTTCCTATAAAGTATTAAAATGAAGGTGTATTTGGTTGGAAGGAAATAAGCTGAACATGGGAAATAACAATTTCAAGGGAAATACAAATTCCCACAACCCATGGGAAATTTCTCACCAACTCCCCCTTGGTGAGTTGAATTTCTTAGGAAATACAATTTCCTATAGTGACCAAACAAATTAGCTTAATTCCTTGGAAAATCATAAAAGAAAAAATTTCCCATAAAATATAAATTTTCATGAGAAGTTAATTTTCCATGTGAACCAAACGAGGACTTCCAAAGTTCTGGCTCAATTTCACACTTGCCTAATTTAATTGAACATGAATATAATCTACATGACTCAACTTATTTACGCTCATAAACACCTCTTTCTTATTTCATTAACCACCACTTTTGGTAAATGAATGAATTTACTCGTATCTTAAATCTTTGGTAAGGAGGAGAGAAGGGAAGGGAAGAGATATTGAGATGACGCAGCGGGGTTAGGATGAGGGTATGTAAGGGAAGATAGATAATGTGCTATGATTGAAATCGTTGAATTGCAGAGATTAGATGTATTTAAGTGGATTACTTTTAATAATTGAATATTGTCTCCGTTCTTTTTAATTGCAACATTCGGAAATTCGCGGGCTAAGAACTTTGAGAGAAAATCCAAAAGTTTGTAATATTTATATACACTCCTTACTATTTTGTGTGATTCGTACTTTTTTTTTTTTTTTTTGAAAAAAAAAAACAGAAATATAGACCTATAAATTATATTATAGTCATGTGATATTTTGTTAGATTTGTCTCAATACAAATTTTTTAAAAATCAATTTTTTTTTTTTAATAATTTAAACTAATATATAATTTAAGATATTTGTGGTGTAAAATATGCACCGACAATTGTAATTAAAAAAAGAAGTTAGGATTATATGAAACCAATTAAAAAATTCGATGGTGGAACAATATTTAAGAGATGAACTAGAATGATATATGAGCGTGTAGCCGTGTAGGACTTAACACCTTTCACTCGGGTGCACCTAAGAGGCCAAAGCTAATTTTTATTGCTTATTTAATATTTTATATGTGCCTAAGATAAGTGAACAAATAGAACGAAGTAATTATATTAACCATTATTGACTCGGAGCCCAATTCAAAAAATTTATAAGGCTAAACAAACATACAACAATCCATGGGCCAAGGCCCAAGCTAAATAGCAAAAACTACTTTGACGATTGAGGCCTTCTTTACTACTCAATTGAGCAGCCGTTAGGTAACACACAGAAAATACAGAACAACATTTTCTCTCCATTGCAGCACTTTTCAATTCTCCATTGCAACGTCTTTCCAGGTATGATATTGGTTTTCGTTTTATTCATCGATTATCCTTTTACAATCTAGGATTCTAGGGTTGATTGTTAAATTAATTCAATTTAGGGTTTGTTCTTTTGAGGTGAATTAATTGTTCAACTGCTGCTTATAATTTTTCTTCTTCTAAGGTTATAACTTTGAAATTCATATTCGTAAGCGAGAAGAATTTGAGTCAAATTTGGTTGCTAATGTGTTGCAGAACCCTTTAATTATTGCTAGGACGAAACTATGATTTTTTTTTTTTTTTTTTTTTTTTTTTTTTAATGCGGGTACAGTTAAAAACTTTAGAGAATACATGAAATTGTTGAGATGATGAAGTATGGTGAAGAGAAAATTAGGGTTTTATTATTATTATTATTATTTCAATTTGTGGTGTTGAAGGTGCAGAATTAATTCATGTTCGAATTCCGTTAAATGTACTTTGTTAATGTGAATTTGTCATCAAGTCTCTTAAATAATTGGTATTTTAATGAGTAAATATTTCTGTTGTTGAATAGAATTATATGTTTGAATTTTATTAATCAGTGCACTAGTGTTAGTTGAAGCTAGTGACTGCAATCAAGAAATTATATTGGTTGCATTGTTTGAGTTGCCTATAATGGGAAATTATGTTACGTGGTTGTAATCGGTTTTTGCCCATTACTTTAGAAAATTCCTTTTTGTACAACAATAAGCACAAATTAGTCTACTATGTTGAGCAAGAATATGTTTATAGGTATGTGAAAAAATATTGTGGCGAATGAGAAGGAAGTATATGCTAAGAGAAGCATTGTGGTTTGAGATATGAAGAGAAAAGTCTTATTTTAGAGTTTGAGTATTACTAGGTTGAAGGTGCTGTAGACTTTTAGAAGGCTTATGCATTCCCTTGCCTCTACCCGTGTTGGTTTTTTTGTTTTTCACATGATTGTTTATTGTTAATGGACATTTGGGTATATTCTACCGTTATTTTTAACATTGTTGGTGTATTGAGGAATATTTTGCTATCTTTCATTCAACTGCCATACACTGGCTGTTTACTTGAGAAGATTAGTCTACTTTGTTTTTAACTTGCTTACTTCCTTGTTAGATATACTTGCAAGCAAGCGAAGATGGTTGTGCTTAAGAAATACCCATCTTCCATCAATGGAGGTGAAATGGAAGACGATGAAGAGTTCGACACAATGGTCAGTGATTCAGAATCTGATCTGGAATCTGAATCCGATGGTGAAGAAAAAGATGACATAAAGCTAACAGAACCTTCAAAAACTGCTATCAATAATAAGGAGGGTCTTCTTGAGAAGCTTAGTGAGATAAGCTGGCCTAAGGATGCCGATTGGATACACAGTCTCTCAGTAGTTATTGATCAAGACCAAGAAGTTGATGTGAATGATGACCTTGCACGCGAGGCTGCATTTTATACACAAGCTTTACAAGGAACCAGAGAAGCCTTTGCTAAGCTTGAATCTAAAGGGCTCCCATATCTAAGGCCGTTTGATTATTATGCTGAAATGGTGAAGACAGATGCTCATATGGGAAAAGTGAAAGGCAAACTCTTGTTGGAGAAGAAGCTAAGGGAAGAACAAGAAGAGAGAAGGAAAGCTAGAGAAGCTAAGAAATTCTCCAAACAGGTACAGGCTGAAAAGCAGAAAGACCGAGCCAAGGAGAAAAAGGAGAGCATAGAATCTGTTAAGAAATGGAGGAAACAGAGGGAAAGGAGTGGGTATGCAAATGATAAGGATGAGATGAAATTGTCATTTGAGGAGGGTGGAGGTGGAGCCAAAGGGAAACGCAGAGGGCCTCCTGGTGTGTCTCCCGGAGATAGGTCTGGTGGGAAGGCTGGAAAGTTTGGCAAGGGTCAAAAGGGCATGGACAAGAAGAGGAAGAGTCGTGATTTTAAAGATTCTAAATTTGGGTTTGGGGGCAGGAAAGGTGGGAAGAAGCAGAACACCGCTGAAACAACCAACGACTTCAAAGGGTTTAATAAGGAGTCTCGTTTTGGTAACAAGAAGAGAAAGCAATTCTAGATTTTATTTTTCTTAAGCCTTCTCGTATGTGTTGATCTACAGTTTTGTAGCCTGTTTGATTTTGTAATGTCTTGAAGCCGTTAGCAGTTTTTAACATTTTTGAGACTATTGTCATATGGTGATCAATGTATAATTATTTGCCTCATGTAATTTGTTATGCAACTAATTGATAGAATCACAGAACTAGACGATACTATATGCACTACAGCTTAGTGGATCATACAGGAGCATTGGGATTAATCAGTTTCTATTTTTTGATAAAAAATACTCTTCAGTCAGGTTGTTGAACGATTGCTTAGAGAGTCAAATTTAACAACTAATTAATATTTACAATGAATACAAATTTGTGGAAATGAAGTTCAGGGAAGAGAGAAAATGAGAAACTAGTGCAACTTGCCAACTTCTATTAATTTGAAAACTAGATACTTTGTTTCTTCTGGATGATTGGATGAATTTGAAGGAGTAAGCTCTTACGATAATGTTCCGAAGTTTGCTGCTGTGAGAGTAGTATAAAACAATGGCATCGATCTTCTAGAAACAACGATAAACTGAACCCGGATGCGGCACAGTGGGGATGTAGGTTTGGGAATGGTAGTCCAAGATGCTGTTAGTGGCGTTCTGATGGTTGCAGAAAACCCAAGTGCGGGTAACTGCTCTCCTATGTCAGCAGAAGCAAGGGCTATGTAGTATATACACATGCTTTTGAGGCAAGGCTTAGATGAGTTGAAGCTGAAACAGATTGCCTCCCTCTAGTTATTGACTTTTTGACTTAGATATCGTTAGCTCAGCTAGCTCTTAGGGTCTAAAATTTTGTTCTCTAAAAAAATGCTCATGGCAATGAATAGAACTGCACCAAGACAAATGGTATGCATGGGAGGATTTGATTTCAGGTGTTGAGTACCACAACTCAAGGCTTTAACCAAATAAAACTTTTTTTTTTTTTTTTTTTTGAGAATAACCAAACTAAACTAGCTGATCATCCACAAAACACCACAGATATCAACGCACTAATACCATGATTACATTGATTAGTAGATTACGAGAAACTCCAACTAATGTTGTTTATCAAGGGGCAAAAGTCTAATATTTTGAGGTAAATATGGATAAAACTGCTAAATGCCCTTTTCTACTCTAATATCTAACGATTTTGCCGCTTGATAAATAAAATACGACTAATACGTATGTTTATTAAAGAGATTAACCGGCTTCCTCGTTGACTACCATCCCTTGTTTGAAAGTGGGCTATTTGTAGACATTAAACAAAAATATGGACCATAAAAAGCCCAGCTAAACTACCGAAGTCTTCGTCTCAAATCGCAAACCATAATTTCTGTTCTTCGTCATTCCCAAATCTTCGCCTCTCTCTCTCTCTCTCCCATCGTATTCAACATTTCCGCCTTTTCTTCCTGGTAAGCTCTCTCTCTTAGCTTTCGATCTACATCTTAGATTTATTTCGTTCAATTATTTTTTATCTTTGTTCTATTTTCTTCTTGTTCAGTTTCGATTCTGGGTTTTTAATTGTTTATTATTTGTTTTAAATTCGATTGAATGTTATGGATTCTGGGTCTAATTAGAGTTTACGATTCTTTTGATAAATCTAATGCATCTGAATGTGTTATTGTAGTGTTGATTTTGATTTTTGATTATTGTCAATATGTTATTTACTCTATTTGATGTTGGGGTTAGGAGAAAAGAAAATAGCTTTTGAATGTTTTTGATTTGTCATTCGAATTTATAACCATTGAAGAATTGAGAGGCTTTCATTGTGAATTTTGGCGAAGGTTTTTTTGTCAGATTGAATTTTTAATGGTGTGAAGAAGGATATATGAGAGAGTTAGGGTTTGATGGTATGTGTGGATTGAAAGCTTAAAAAGCAACCGTCTTTGCCACCGAATAAAACCCCTCTTTTACCTTGAGCTTGCTTGCCTCTTTTATCGAATTTTATCTGACTTTTGGTGACAGTGTTAGTTGTAGATATTAAGGAGAAGGAGGAAAGGGGGCAGGGGGTAAATTTTGGAGCTTGTGGGTTTTGCAAGTGCCAGAACTAGTAAACTGCCCAACTTAGGATGTGACTATCTAGTACTCCGTATCTACCGACTGTTATGACTATGTATCATCTGATATATGGGTATAGCACATTCAACGTAAGGGAAGTCTTTCATAGAAAAGCTTTGAGCTTGGGTTCCTCATTACAAACTTGGTCGGAAAACCCAAGTCTTGATGCCAATGTTGGCCCGTAAATCCTTTCTCAATGAATTGAGGGAACATTCACAAATTACCTTTGCCAGGGCAAGTGTTTGGATCTATTATGACATAGATGTGCGGTGCTCAAGAGACGTAGAGTTTACAGAGTCTATAGCTGTTCTAGTGTGGTTAATTTAGAATTTGATTAGAGATTGCTCATCAATTCATGTTTATCATGCTTGTCAGGAGTATGTGACTTGAAATATGAAGTAGATATTGAATTATTTATTTATTTATTTATTTTTTTTTTTTGGGGGGGGGGGGTTATGGGCATTTTGTTTGCTTACCATAATTTTTCCTCAGTTCTTATAGCAGTGATATGGAGGGGGGGCAGGGTGGTGGTAGAAAGGGGGTTTTGGTGCTTCTTACTTGGTTGGACAGGTATTTGTAGGGAGTTTCAGTTTGGGAGATACATTTGGGATTAGCATGAGACTAATTAACTTTATGTAATTATGAATTATGTTTCTTACTCTGAGAAATGATGTAGTGTGTAGTTACATTCCTGAAGCATTTTGTAGTCAGTCCTTGATTTCTCTCAGAAAGCTGGGCTGCATTTTCCTGTTAGTCCTATACTTAAAACTGCAGTTCTGCTGCTTTCCACCAATATCTGTAGGACTGCAGGTCAAGTCTCTCTTTTTTACCTGGTGGAAATGAATTATATTTGCTGAATTGGTATCTTGATGCTGAAATCATTCATGATTTCTAATTGTGAAATTTATGTGACCAACTTGAGCTTGTGGCTTAAAGCTTGGGTGGCTTTGTATATATGATGAGTGGGCTTTGTAGTTCATGTCTACTAGTGAGAAAAAAATTATGTGTACACTTTTCCATTCAAGTTTTCTAACTTTCTTTCAACTGATTTTTCTTATTTTAAAATAGTACTCAGGTATAAATTTTCTCAGGTGATTTAGATATGCTATCCAGACCCGTAATATTATGGAATTTTTATTTATGGAATTATGTATATGTGCAAGTGAAAGGTTTGAATTTGTATGAGTTTACTCTGTTAATGCAAATATGTTTTCTAGACTGTTGATTACATAAATATGTTGACTACATTTTGGAAACCGTGTGGGCCATAGTGGTTGCATTATCTGGATCAGGAAATTGTTGTGTTACTTGGTTTGTAAATATTTGCTTATGAGTTTAGAATGGTCATGATCTATATTTACCATCAAACAAGGGGATAAAAGTGTTCATATGTGATTATTTCTTATGTTTGTTTTTCAACCAGTGTAACAAAGGTATTGGTCTCTTTCGTTCACTATGTAACTGGAAATGTTACCTTTGTTTTCTCCCCTTGTATATCAGTATATGCCACTTAAAGATTGTTATTACATTCAGGTGATAAATATGGCTGGCTCAAAGGTTGCTCATGCTGCCTTGAAAAGTCCCAGTGTTGTGAAAGAGATATTTATTGGTTTTGGACTTGGCTTGGTTGCTGGTACCATGTGGAAGATGCACCACTGGAATGAGCAGAGAAAAGTGAGATCCTTCTATGACATGCTGGAGAAGGGCCAGATCAGTGTGGTCGTAGAAGAGTAGATCATATTTGATGAAACTATGTTTTTGATTAAGTCGGTGTCTTTGAACAGCTCGTTGGTCGTTTCTGCTGCTCATTGTAGAGGAAAGCAGTGCATAAACCCATGATTAATAATTTTTTTTATACTGAAAGTTGATGATGTGGATTTTGTGTTATATCATGTTTTCTCCACTCTTACTGCGGTGTAAACCTTGAAAGTTGTCATTACCCTTTGAGGTGAATGTTTATGAGAACATGATAACTATTTTTTTTCTGTCGTAGTCTTCTCTGATCGTTTTTCTTTAGTAAACTGTATAATATCAGTATGCTTGAGAGTGACAACCTAAATACGGATGTTGTCTTTGTGATCAGAGGCAGTTGTCCTATATCTTTCTTTTCTGGGCATGATCTATGTGTTTCAGCTATGGTCTTCTTAGACCTTTGCCACAATTTCTGACTTAATTAAAATTTATATTGATTATCACAGTTGGGCCTGTATTCTCATGTGATTAACTCGACGATTATCATTAACGTTAACTCAATTGGAAACATTTTTTTATTTTTTATCAGGAGCTAGTTTGTACCTGTAGGCTGTAGTAAGAAGATGTTGATAATGCTTGATCTATTCAGCGACTGTATATAAGTTTTTCTTTTCACATATAGGTAAAGAGTAAGATACAACTGCTAATAATTTCTGTTTATCCCAGAATAGAAAAGATGATCGTTTTTAACTAATCAATATAGTACCTTCTTCGCTCCTTGGGCTTCGGCCAACAGGGCTTTGCTAACTCAAAAAACCCTGCTCTATGTGAATGTTGCTTTGCATTTGGCAACTTTGGGGAATTACGACTTCTAAATATAATTATTAAAAATTAATATTGAAGCACAAATATTTTTTTGAGACGAATTTAAAAAATTATACATGATTATAGGTTCAGTGTGCCTAATCAGTATAACCTTATAATTTTTTTAAGTGGGATAGATCACAATCATTTAAGTAAACTTAAATTTTAGCATAAAATAAAAATTCAGTGGTCAAATATTTTATTGGATTTATTACATAATCACCATTTGTTTCAACAATTTCGTACATAATTGAACCTAAGTTTATCACCAAACAATGTGGCAAAGTTGTTGCCTCAAAAAAAAAAAAAAAATTGTGGCAAAGTTGTACATAGTAATATGAGGTAAATCTGATAGCTGTTCCTGAGAAAAATTACTCAATTAATTACAAGTTTGCCCTTTAATTTACATTCTAATACTACTCATTAATCGGCCTTTTTAAAAAAAACTTGTTAAACACACAGAAAATACAGAGGAATTATTTACGATATTCTTGATTCACTGAAGCGTCTTGTACTCTCAATTCTCCATTGAAGCGGCTCGTAAACTTGTTCTCCTCCATTGAAGCAGCTTCTGAGGTGAATCTTTTTGTGTTTTTTTTTTTTTTTCAATCATCGAATATCAATTTCGCAATCTAGGGTTTATCGTTAATTTAATTCAATTTAGGGTTCTTTTAAGGTGGATTGATTATTGAACTCTTGCTTATACTTCTATTATTCTAAATTTTGAACTTTGGTATTCATATTCTTAATCTAGAAGAATTTGAGCCAAGTTTGGTCGCTAATGTATTGCAGAACCCTAAAATTATGTTAGGGCGGGCCTGTTTGTATGATGAATTCACGGTTTTTAGCATTACGAATTATAGTTTCTCTGAAGTTTAGGTTATTTTTCCTTCGCGCACTCAAATTTTGTGGATAGGAAAGAGAAATTGCTATCTATTTGTGTTGATTTCTCGGTCTATTTGATGCTATGTCTTGGAGAAGAGGAAATTGTTATTGAGTTACCTTTGATATTTGATTTATCATTTGAATATAATTGATAGTAAGGGTTTGATGGTATGTCAGAAAATAAAGACATTTAAAAAAAAAAAAACAATCATCTTCGTCACCAAATAAAAACCCCATTCTACCTGGAGTTCGATTATAAGTTGTGCAGTGTATTCCATACAATCCCCATTTGAATTTTGGTGACAGTATTATATCTTTGGGTGTGTTGAAGACTACTCGTATTTTTGAGAAGCAGAAGCCTATTGTGGAGACATCACTCACAATTGCCACGCAGTTTAGCTGGCTTGGGCAACTGTTATTTTCTAGATGCTTTGGGATGTGTCGTGCTGTATTCTGTATATCTTAGGGCTAAATTTAAGGAGGAAGGGGAAAATTAGGAGCTTATGGATTCTGAATATGCAAGAAGCGTTAAACCATCCAACTTAGGATGTAACAATCTACTGACTTGTGTATGAGTGTGGAGATTTTATTGCTGTTCTAGTATGGTTAATGTGGAATTTGACTGCGGATTGCTTGTTTAATCCTTGTTGATTTTGCTTAGGAAAGCTGCTGGGTACTTTAGCGTGGTAAAGGACTAGCTACAGATTCCTTTACCATTAGTACCTTTTGGGGTGGGGGGTGGTGGGCATCTGGGGTTTTTTTTTGTGTTCGTTTTGCCTTTAGCAAATCTGTTGAGTGCTTAAGCACAGCAAAGGAAGAGCAACAAATTCCGAAGATGAATTGGCTATAGTTTACTTGGCTGGACAATCTTTTTTTACAGAATTGCTGTCTGCCGAAAAATTTAGGGATTATCATGGGTTTTGTAATCAGTTAAACAACATTATGGATTTGTCCCAGAAAGCTCTACTGCATCTGCTTGTTAGTACTATATTATAGTGCTTAATTGTTATCCTAATTCTGGAATCTTACATGTTTCTGATTTTAGAAATTATGTGAACAACTTGACCCTGTGGCTCAAAGCTTTGGTTGTTGTGTCTTGTTTATATACAAGTATGATACTGGGGAATTACTGGTGATTAAATAAATTACGAGTACACTTCTATTTTAAGCTGTCTTACTTTCTTCCATCTGAGCTTTCATGGTTAATGAATAATGATGTATCTCAATTCACAATGCACATTGTGTGACGTTGCAGGTTTGGAGTTCATGGCTGAGGGAGAGGAAGACTTGCCCAGGGATGCAAAAATTGTGAAGTCATTGTTAAAATCTATGGGTGTTGAGGAGCATGAGCCCCGTGTTGTGCACCAGTTTCTGGAGTTGTGGTACAGGTATGCTGTTGATGTCTTAACGGATGCACAAGTTTACTCTGAACATGCTGGCAAAGCCTCAATTGACTGCGATGATGTTAAGCTTGCTATCCAATCAAAAATGAATTTCAGCTTCTCACAACCCCCACCTCGGGAGGTAGTTTTAGCTTCTCTTTACCCCCATCCAAGTGTTTACGTGTGCATATGATAGAATCTCTATTGCTATGATCTCATTGTCTAAAGTTGGGAAAGGAATGCCACTTTTCTTAAAAAGGTTGACATGTGGCCATTTGGGATCCTAATTGTATAATTAGCAAGAATTGGTTCAAGATATCATTTGATTTGTTATGAGTGTAGGACTGTGAATGTATTTATTCAAGGTTTTCTTTTTTTCACTTACTTCCCCCCCTCCCCCTCTTTCAGTGTTTAGAAGTGATGATTGATTCCTCTCTCGACCATATTTTGTTTTTTTTGGTAGCATTATTCCTAATTTAAAATTTTAACTGTTGAACCAGGTATTACTCGAGCTTGCTAGAAACAGGAACAAAACTCCCCTACCAAAGAATGTTGGAGGCTCTGGAGTTCCACTTCCTCCCGAAGAGGATACGCTGATTTGCCCAAATTATCAGCTAGTGATACCAAGGAAGCAGAACCTCCAGGCATTAGAAGAAACAGAAGATGAAGAGACTGCTACTCCTAGCACATCTCAAGAGCCAAGAGCTGATGTGATGCAGACCACTCCTCAGAGAGTCTCCTTTCCTCTGGGAGCTAAGCGTCCAAAATGACCTCTGACCATTACTTATCAGACACAACATTCATCATTTCATTGTATGCTCTTTTCCCTTTTGAAGAGCACCATGTCAGGTGAGATCTCCAATTTTTTTATGTAAATGGGATTCCTGGGAGTTTCAAGTTTCTAGTATGAAAATTCATCAAGGTGGCCAAGTGGGAGCTTATAGATCAGTCATCTGCTTTTTTAACTTGAACGAAAACTGCCTGTATGCTACTAACACCATAAAACTGTAGCGAATGTTAGATAAATTGTATGCATCTGAAGATTACGACCTGTTATCTTGTTGTATCTTAATTCAGTAATAGTAATACTGTTTTATTTATTTATTTATTTATTTATTTTTATATAGAAGTGATAATTGCTTTAGATTCCATGTAAATCGTATTCCATTCGGAGCAGAAACCAAACCTCATGTTCTGTAGAGTTCCTTAACTCCTTTGGCTGTGTTCAGCTTTGAAAAAACTTATCAACTACCACCGCATCAATCATTGACAATATAATCTTGGATATTTATTTTTAGGATATAATCTTGGATATTTGCTCGGAGACATGAATTTGCTTACATTTGCTCACAACTACCAGGTTAGACTTGAGCACAGCAGTCATATCGTTACATTGTATTATTCTCAGAATTAGAGATTTTGAAACGTTCAAGTTTTCCTGTTGGTAGTATTATTGTTAGTTTAAATTTGGCCAATTGATAAGCATAATCGTTGAATTATACACCTCACATAGATTGGTGGTGACAGATGATATGTAGTAGCTTGTATCATAACTAAACCTACAACATGAGTTTAACTACTCTTGAGTGTATATACAATAAGTAAAAAAACAAAATGAATTTACATTAAGCTTTTAACAAAGTTTAAGTTAAGGCTTTGGTAAGTTCATCTTAGTTCCATATAACTCCAAAAATACAAGTTTAGGTGAAGATTAAATGAATTCAAATGAGTTCAGGAAAATAAATTTAAATAAAGTGATTAAGGGTTATTCAATTTACAATTAAATAAAATTTTTAATGAGTCAATTTTCAAATTAGTGAAAATAAGATGAATAGAATAATTTCAACAAACTTAGGAACAAAGAATAAGGGATAGATCAAGTGGTTAGAGTTTCCCTCCCGGTTTCAGGTGATCTTAGGATCAATTCTCATCACTCGCCCTTGTGGCTCCCGGAACAAAATATTTAATTAGTCAATGTCTAGAGTATCTCACGTTGTAATTTGGAATGTTTGTTACTCCGTGTATGTTATGGTTAGAAACATTGTAAACTTACGTTTCTCACATCCTCGAAAGACATTATCAACTAAATTAGTTGATATTTAGATCTATCAATCTCGATAATACCTCTTGACAAACCAAAGGAACACAATAAACAAAGCATAAGAACCATAGATGTTGCTAGTGGAATATAATCACAAAATAGATGATCTCATGGTGTCTCTCTAGATTAGCAACTTGCATCTTATCATTTCTTTTCTGTCTACAATTGAAAGGACTCCAGATCTTATTATGAGCATATGCTTTTTTTTTTTTGGTTTAATTTCTTATTGTCTTACCCAAAAAGAACCACAAATATTGTTTCCTGTTATGGATATCATTATCAATAATTATCAAGAATTATGCAAAGATGTTGTCTAATCCCAGTTGACAGCACCTACCTGTGTTTTATTAAACTTTCCAATCTTTTCAATTCTCTTGTTGAGATAGTTGCTGCCAAGCCAAAAAAAATTTCACCTCGTAAATTAATACTCGAATAATGAAAATTTGCAAATATCTTCATTATTGGATTTTTGCTAATTTCTTATGGTTTCTATATTTTTACTACATGGAATTATTAACAAATATTTTTTTAGATACTCATAATAAATTAATAATACTCCCTCCGTCTCAAAATAACTGACACTCTTTGCACATACGTCGATGTTATAGTTTGACCTAATTTTTATGGGAAAAGCTATAAGCAACCCTTATAAGAAGCTATAAGTGGAAAGAATAGACATTAAATTAACATTTATTACACCGATTTATACGTGAATTGTCGATAAATTCCCAACTTAATACTATAAAAAGAAGTATATTAAATGCTTATATGCAGCCCTAGCATTACCCAATTGTTAATCACCAATCTGTTGTATAAAATTATCGTTAACGTATTCATAGCAAGAGTGTTAACTTATTCATAAAAGTTAACCAACATATTTAAAAGTTACGCTATTTTTTTGGTGAAGGATGATAATTACCATTGCTAGTCGGTTATGTATTCTTTTGGCTGAGTAACCGGAGTACACAATGCACTAATATATACTGAAAAGGACCTTGCAAAGCTACCCTTGTAGTTGTTTATCGTACTGCACAAGCGCGACGTACATATCACTATATCAGACTATCAGAGGTAAGGAATATGCCATCTTGAGCTAGTCAAACCAATTGAATTGGTATGCCTTCAACCTTGTTATAAGAAAGTGCCACTTTTTAAGGACCACTTTCTTAAAGACAAGGCCGTGTGAGTTCTATTTCTTGCAAGGTACTCGAGCTTGGCTCTGGCCGGTGCATTTGATATCGAGTTTGAGCCAAAGTTTAAAAGTTTAAGTCCTAAACGAACCCAAATGAGAGCATTATTTGATTGGAAAGAAATTGTGAAATGGACACAAAATGAAAGGCCTTTTTTTTAAAAAAAAAAAAAAAGAAAAAAGAATATATAGTAGAAGTATATTTTGAGTGAATTTTTAAATTGTGATCAATAAGGCCAATAACACAGATTCCACAGGATTTTATGAGGACATCAAAATAAAAGTAGAAAATTATAAAATCGACTTGTTATCTTGAAATAGCACTATAGTGTTGATGATGATTGATTGATTGATTAAGATCCATATTAGATGCCAAAAAATTTTCCCTTTGATAAAATACAATCAACATAAAAATAAACAATATCAATTTATTTAACATAATACTCCAAAATATATACATCTATATATTTTTAAAATAATGTTAATATTTACCATGTAAACTAATATACGAAGTATATAGAATGTCATTACTCGTAATTAAGGAGAATTTAAAGCATTATTATCTCGAGCTTGTAATTGCACATTTCTTGTTCACCAAAAAGGTTTTTAAAAGTAATAATTTGATTATTCGAGCTATAGACGTGTAAGTATAAGAACTCAACGGGACCTTCCTTTCCCCTCGAATTAGACAAACAAAGAAGGGGGCCGGGAGATCCTGTTTTAAGAATTAAAATTTTAGTGTTTTACGGTTAATTACTCCGTAGCATATAAAAATTTGACAATGTGACGTTAAAGGTGATAAATGAGAAAAATTTGAAGATGGAACTCAAACACCAAGATTAAAATCAAACATTGCTTTCAAAAAAGACAGATGAGGGAAAATTTAATCACTAAACCCAATTTGACAAATCACATACAATAATAATACGTTATACATATACATATATAAGTATAACATTGATTTGACATGATTAAATTAATTAGAGCTGCTTATTCTAGTGAAAAATACAACTAGTTGCAGCAATGACTAACAGTAATCTGTATAGTCCACACAATTTATAATTTCAAATATCTAATTTGAATAGGACTTAAAAATTATTTTAAATAATTCCTATAAAATCCAGGAATTATATCATTGACGAAAATTCACCTTAATTAGCTTCACCATTGCATGTTGTGGCTTCTTTACTCTGCTTGTCACATCATTCATCCCAATTATTGAGAATTAGATTCAACATCCAACTAGACCAACTAACTTGCACCTCTTCCCAAGAATAACAACTAGAATAAACACCCAATCATACAACCTTGATCAAGATCAAAAGGGCATCTATCCCAATTAAAATCAACCTTGATAGACGTGCCAAGGGAATTTGGACATGATTATTATTTTTTTAACTTTGGAAACACAACAATAACTATAACCCGACCCCTTATCATGTTGCGGCTAGATGTACACAACCTTACCTTAGAATGATGCTTAAGAAAAGACATGGGATTTTAAGAAAATCAAATTTGGCTTCATTTTGCAATTTGGATGATGAATGAAACTTAGTGAAACCAAATATGATGATCAATGACAATAAACACTAGGGCACATTTTATGTGTAGGACATGCATGTTACATACTCCCTTCCATGAAAATGAGATGATCCGATCCATGGATAGAGATCAACAAATGTGATGGGTCGGGTTCGGATGAATGAATGAGATGGTATGTGATAAAGAAAGATACAAGGTAGATTAATTAGATAGAACAACAAAAATGGCAAGATCAAGTGTAGGAAGCTAAGTGTACGTATGTGTTACACTTTTTTTTTAGCTTAGCTTATTGATGAGCACTAGAGGCTAGTTCTCCTATAATATTGCCATGGTTCAAAGGGTTAAATGGTTGAATCTCCAAACACTTGCAGCTTTGCATCCTTATTGGAGAGAAGTTATGTGTGTGATTTTGCTCCCACTCCAATGAATACACCGGGGAAGACCGATCATCGGCCTTCCTCGCGATCACGACCGAGTTGATCACCTCGTCCGTTGGGTGAAAAACCGATAGCACCTCGAACCCACAAAGGTCTTCGGGTTCGACAACTGGGTACAAGAAGGCTCGAGCCCCATGGGCGCTTCGAACCATTAGGGTTGACCCGGGTGCCATGTGTTTGGCTAAGTGATGGATGACCTTAACCTTCTCCTCCTTGTTCATCCCAACAAGGGCAGCTAAGAACACAACATCATACTCTTCAAGTTCCTCTTTTCCCAAACTCATAACATCCTTAGTGTGGAATTTCATCCGACCCGACAAGTTCGGGTCGGGTTCCGCCAACCGGGCCGCCATCTCGTTGGCGGACGAGTCGATATCGTAGTTATCAAACCGGGTGTCGGGGAGGTGGTTAAGGGCGAGCACGATTGAGGTGAGGGGAAGTGGGCCGGACCCCACGAACGCAACCCGTTTTGGTACATGGGTAGAGTTCTGTGTCAAGATGTTGTACTCTAACAAGCTAAGCTTAACGTAGTTGTTATAATAAGGGAATATATCGAGGTGTTGTAACGGGACATCGTACGAGGCTAATATAGTGGAGAAATGTTTTTCAAGAAGTCCCTCAGCCTCACCACAAAGTCTAATTAAATTAGACCTCATTTCTTGGATTTGATGGCATAATTTTGTGACATCAATAGGATTAGGAGGCATGCATGTTACTACAAGTTGTGTAAACAGCATGTTGACATCTTCTGAAGGTTTCAGACTTTCAAGGCTTGAGATTTTCTCATACAATTCATTAATTTGGTTCACCAATGGTTCTTCTTGGCACACCATAATGTC